CTGTAATCCCAGCACTCGGGAGGCTGAGGCAGGACGATCATTGTGAGTTCGAGACTAGCCTGGGCTACAAAGTGTGCTTAAGGCCAGCCTGAACTGCATAGAGCGAGACCCTGTCTCAAAAAAAAAAAAAAAGACAAAGAAAAAAAAAAAGAATGTAGACACCAAGGCTGGGGATTTAGCTCAGCGGCACAGTGCCTGCCTGGCAAGCACAAGGTCCTGAGTTCAATCCCCGGTACCAAAAAAAAAAAAAAAAAAAAGAATGCAGACACTGGTATTCTCAACAAAATTCTAGCAAACCTCATCTTTTAATGTATAAAAAGGGTTATACACCATCACAGACCAGGATTTGTCCCGGTAATTAATGAAATATACTATATTAATGAAAGACAAAATCCCATGTGACCATCCCAATAGATACGGGAAAATACTTTGATGAAAACCATCATGGTTTCATGATAAATATATTTAATAAGATACAAATAGACAGGAATTCCCAAAACAACAAAGGGAGTCTATGCAAGGATATCAAGAAGGAAGTGGAAAAGGGTAACTCACTGGAGAGAAGGTATGCAAATTACTTATGTGATAGGGAACTTGTATGCAGCACACAAAAAACTTTCACTAATAACCCAATTAAAAAGTTAAGGAACTTTAAAATAACCCAGTTTTTAAAAAAAATAGACAAAAGAGTTGAACACACATATTTCCAAAGAAGACATAAAAATGGCTAGAAATGATGTGGGTTTTTGGGGGGGAGGAGTACCGGGATTGAACTCATGACCTCATGTTTGCCAAGCAGACACTTACGATGCTGAGTTAAACCCCTGGCCCTAGAAATCATGTTTTTAAAAAGTCAACATCATCAACCATTAGGGAAATGTGTATTGAAATCACCATGCATACCACTCCCTACCCACTAGGTTAGTTGCAATAAAAAGATGCATGTTAACAAGTGTTGATGACGATATGGAGAGATTAGCATTTCCAACCATTGTTGATTGGAGTGCAAAATGATGCAGATATTTTAGAAGAGTTTTGTGGTTCATCAAAATGTTAAACATAAAGTTACCATATGATATATTCATTTCAGACCTAGGTGTATACCTAAAAGAAATGAAAGCATATGTCTATGTGAAAACTTGTACATAAATGTGCATATCAGCATTATTCACAAATATGGAAAGTAGGTAAGGCTGGGGATTTAGTTCATCGGCATAAATGCCTGCCTTACAAGTGCTCGGTTGTGAGTTCGATCCCAGTACCAAAAAAAAAAAAAAAAAAAAAAAAAAAAAAGAAAGAAAGAAAGAAAGTAAACAAACCACATTTTGTTTATCTATTTGTTTGTCATCAGCTGATGAATAGATAAACAAAATGTGGTTTGCCCACACAGTGAAATGGTGTTGACTATTAAAAAAGATTATTAAAGTAATCTAGGCTTGCTGCACCCCCCACAGGATTATTTTAAAAACTGAGTCCCAGAGATCATGTCTTTTACAAAAGACAAAGACTCTTAAAACACGATCATGATGTAGCTATCACACCCGACACTTGTTACCCAGGACATGATGTAATGAACACTCTGCTCTTCTCTCCCTGGTGTCTCACTAATGTCATTTTATAGCAGTTGCATTGCTCAAACCAAGGCCCACTTCCACATGGTGACCCACTGTGCTCACAAGTACATCAATGATCAGCTTTCTCATCCTCTTATTTTGTTCGCAGTGTGTTTACGGAAGACGCTGGGTTGTTCGTTGTGTAGTTTCTGACACCTGCAGGTTTTGCTGGTGCCACTACTGCGGTGACTCTATGACTCTAGCGTGACCATGGTGACACAGTGATTTCTTGTACACGCTCGCTGCCAGTGGCACTGTAACTGTGATTCTACTCACACATCGACACAGTTGCTACTCTTAGGGGCCTGGGCAGTACATACAGCACAAGTTACCGCCTCCGCTCTCGGAGCAGCCCACGTGCTCGGTCTACAGATGCAGGAAGTGAGGGTTAGAGAGGCTGCAGAGGTAGGGCCACAGCCCATCCCACAGCACACATCTGGGTGCAGCCTCAGGTGTGTCTCATGTTAAATGTCACCACTGGTAATTTGGTTTGAGTGGCTTTTAGCAGCTCCAGGAAGAAGCCTTTCAGTTCATCCAGAGAACTTTCCCTTCCACGTTTCACTTGTTTTTGCTGCAGGTAACGGAAAGCGCCATCTTGAACTGACTGGGCAGTGAGGACTGTTATCATCTCACATAATGACAGATTCGGGAGTGGGACAGCACCAGGCCAGAGGACTCGGTGACTCAATGCCAGCAGTGCAGGTCCCAGCTCGTTCTCTCCCTGTGCTCTACGCTCTGCTCCGTGAGTGTGTGCCAGAGCCTCTGATGGCTTTGAGGTCACTTCTAGCCACTCCAGACCACATGGCAGATATGACAGCATCTGGTGGACACGGTGGCCTTTTTCCTCGGTGACCTTGCTCAACAAGAATTCCTTTCCCAGAGTTCCTCAGGCAGACCTCTCCTTGGGTTTGCAGGGCCATAACAAGGTCAGATGCCCACTCACCTTACCTGGGCCAGGAAGGAGGCTCCTGGGCCCTGTGCCTGTGGCAGAATTGAAAGAACACTTCCGAGACGTTAGATTTAAAGATCCAAACAGACTGGAAGGGGTGTGTCTTGGTTACTTCTCTCTCCTTTCTGAGACAAGATACTCGACACCTGAAATGAAGGAAGGAAAGATTTATTTAGCTCATGGTTCGTGGAGGCTTCAGTCCATAATCAGCTGACTCCAAGGCAGGGTGGCATGGCACCAGGGGCAACAGTTCAAGGCAGCACAAGACAGCAAAAGCTAAAGGGGAGACAGAGCAAGGCTGTCACCCTGGGTGCAGCCCTCACACCACCTCTGTGTCCTCCTCTTGCACAGGATAAGGATATTTACAGAGTAAGGAACCTGGCTCCCTGCTGAGTCCCTTAGTTAAACTCTTAAACTCCTCAAGTTTACATAGTGTATCAACCATGATCCCCTTAAGTTTTAAAATAAAAAATACAAAGGTTAAGTGTTCTTCCTTCTTCACCCATTCATTCACGCAGTTTCCGAGCTCCCAGCCCTCATAGCACACAAGGTAACTGCATGTTCCTTCTCATGTCTCACCTTCTTCAGGTTGGAGTCAGCGCCCTCCTTGGGCTGATACCTGCCTCTAGGAGTGCAGGCGGCTCCTGTATCTCTTCTTTGGCTGCCAACCGTGACCCACTTGAGCATCGATCTCCCCTGCTCGATTTCCTGAACCTCTGAAGAGGTGACACTCTATCCATCCCATCACATGTGGGCAGGTCCCTGAGAGCAATAACAAGAAAACCAAAGAAGAAGGTAGCACAGAACCAGGTTTTCTCTCTTTGTTACAATCTCAGCAAAACTGCTTTGTTACTGTTTTCAGTTTAGCACACCATCAGCCTTCTGGGGAAATCACCAGCTCTCTCAGCAGAACACTGACTTACAGTAAATATATCACATAAAAACCAGACCTCCCAGCTGTTCCACCAGGACATGGATCCTCTGAGGCACATGAAGACTTGCCCTTGCGATCTGCCTGGGGTTGCCCCTACCTCCATCTCACTTCATTTTCTTTAGCTCTGTCCACCAAGTCCCTACTGCCCCAGGCAGGGGAGACTCCAGCACACACTGTCGGTCATTCTGGCACCCTAAGTCTGGAAGAATTCACTTCTCTTTCTGACTCACACCCTAACTTGAAATGCATCGAGGACACATACAGGTGCCCAGTGTGGAAGGGGGAGGATGGCCTCAGTGGCCAGCTGGACCAAGTCATGCCATCCGTGAACCTTGGGCTCTGCTCTCTGGAAAAAACTACCCATTGGGGCTGGGGATTTAGCTCAGCGACGTAAGTGCCTGTCTTTTCGATCCCTGGTACCAATAAAAAAGAAAAAGACAAAAGAAAAGCTGCCCATTTCCTGTGGCACTTGTGCAACTCCAGCAAGAACATGCACGGGGAGGTTTTCCACCAATGCAAAGCACCATCCTCCTCAAATATGGGCGTCCTCTGCAGTGCTTTCCTTGGCGACCTGATCACTGCCACCCCTGACGGATGGAGGTGACACAGCCAGGCAACAAGCTGCCCTTTCGCTCAGTGTCACCTCCACTGAATTCTGGGCAAACCCCACCACCGCTGAGCCCCAAGGAGCCTGAGCTCCAGGGTGGGAGCCGCAGGGAGACTGAGCCCCCCAGGCTGCCGCAGGGACACAGGGTGTGGCCCAGGCCTCAATTACCACTTACCTTACAAAGAAACCCGCTTGTGGAAGGAAACCCTACTCTCTCGCATGGTCTGTAATTGAAGTTTGGTTCTTTGTCACCATACCTGTGTGCGTCAGAGCAGGACAGAGGGGAAGGGACGCCTCCATGCACATTCAGAGCTGTGGGGACTGGGCTGGGCAACAGGCGAGGACAGACCCGGGGATCGGAGCTTTGGCCCAGCGCGGGCATAGCTTGTGCTGCCTGGAGCTTCGCCGGGCGGGAACCGCACCTGCGTGTGCCGAGCGCCGCGGGGCCCAGGCCACGCGTCCCCTCGCCGCGGGCTTTTGGTCACTGCGTTCACGGCCGCCCTCTTTCCTTTTTCTTTTTGGCACTAGGGATTGAACCCGGAGCCTCAACGCATCCCTTCCTTAAGCTTCAAACTTCACAAATGAGGACCAAAGCCTCCGAGAGGACACACTGTCCCTCAGGAGGCCACCAAGTGTGCGTGGGCTCGCAGGCACCTGCTCCACCCAATTCCTGCCCCACCTCGGAACCCCACCATGCTGAGCCCCCAGACCCAAAGCTCACCCAGGGGACGCGTCCTGGAGTGGCATGGACGGAACCTGTCCCGTCCCTGTCCCTGTCCCTGTCCCCTGTTCCCGCCGAGCTCCGTGTCTTCCCCTCGCCTGCCCGGGTCCCCAGGTTCGGGGTTCGGGGGACCCCTGCCGGGCCGGGCCGGGACTACGCTTCCCAGGCTGCTCCGCTGCCGCCCCCCCTCCGTGAGCCGCAGCGCCCGCCGCGCCCCGCCCCTGCCCGCGCTGCTGCTGTTGAGGGACGCGCGGATCGCGGGACCGAGGAACGAAGGACGAGGGACGGACGGACGGACACGCGCCCGGGTCCGGGCATGGGCGTGCGCGCGGGTGAGCAGGGGCGCGGGGCGCGGGGCGCGGCGGGCGGAGACGATCCCGGTCCGCGGTGCGGCTCCGCAGCTCCCCGGGGCGCGGGCGGGTCCCCACGCCGGGCTTTGTCCCCACAGCCCCTGCCGGGCGCGCCGGGGCTGGGGACGACACGGGTGGGCGCGGGCGGCGTCGCGTCCTCGGCGCCGGCGCTGGGGCTAGTGGAGCGGCGTCTCGTGCCCCTGCGGCCTCCCGGGCCCCGGGATTCAGGGGGGCGACTCCTAGGACCGCGACCGGAGCCAGGCCAGGGTCTGCGCTGCGAGGCCGGGGCGAGGGCGCGGGCCTCGGCCTGGGTCCTCGGCGCTGTCCCCGCCACGCGGGCGGGGAGGGGGAGGAGCGGCATCGCGGGTCTCCGGGCGCGGCCCGCGCGGCCTTCCTCCCGGCAGGTGGGCCCGGCCCGGCCGCTCCCAGCCGCTCGCCTGCCTGCCCCGCTGCCCCCATCCGGGCGCCTCTGTGCGCACCGCCCGGGCGGGCCCCGTGGCGGGGAGGGCTCCAGCGCTCCGGGGCAACAATTAAAAATGAAAAACGGTTTCTCTGCCCTCTCCGCGGTCTTCCCTCGGGTCCGGCCCGTGCGGAGGAGGCTGCCGCCGCCCTCGCTCCGTGCTGGCGGGGGAGGGGTGCAGCGCGGGGCTGGGGCTCCCAGGCTCGGCTCGAGCTGTCGGGGTGAGGGGAGGCCTCCAAGGTAGCCAGAGGGTTAGGGGAGGCCCCGCAGGGTGGCCGGAGGGGACGCACGCGGAGGAGCGCGGGCGCAGGTGCAGCCCCTCCGGGTCGGGCTCGAGCCCGGCAGCACCGAGGCGGCGGAACTCGGGAGCGGGATTTTCCGTTATGTCAAAGCATTTGCTCCCCTCCCTGCGGGAGAGTGAGGCCTCATGCAGGGGCCAATCGCGAGCGCTGCAGAGCGAGATGCTTGTACTGGAACTGAGGGAACAGTGCTGTGAGCTCTGGGGACCCTGGGCTCGATCACGGCCCGCTGCGTGTGCGGGTGGCGCTGTGCCAGTCGCTGTGCGTCCTCCCAGCTACGGGGTCGCGGCGAATCCGTGGTGTCCTGAGAAGTGGGTGTCGCCGGCAACGCGCATTGGCATCCGCAGCCTTCACCTGGCTCAGAGCAAATGCGAGGTGGCGGGGAAGCGACAGCGGCGGAGCTGGAGGGACAGCAAGCTGCTCGCCAGTCTGTAAAAGTTTCTGTAGATTTGTGGGTCAACAAATAAGTAAACACAGAGGGGGCGTCGCGGAGGGCTATGTGGTCAGAGTCCTCGGAGAACCCCTGGCCTCGAGCTCCTGGGCTGAAATCCTGTTGGAGTAGGGGCCAGGCCTCTTTTCTGGTCCATCTTGGTCACAGTCGGTCATTCACGCTGCAGAGACCCCATCACCTCGCTCAGTCTCCAAGTGTAAACTGTCCTCTGCACCCCAAAGGTTCTAGGACCCCCACACCCTACCGACCTCCAAATCTGCAGGCTCTCAAGGATCTTGTACTAAGTAGTATAGAGCCTGCGTATCATCTATGATACATTTTCCTATGCACCTCATTTTGCCTAGGTTGTTTATACCACGTACAATGTGATCTTATGTAAATAATTGTCACATTGTTGTTGGGTTTTATGTTTGTTTGTTTGTTTTGTTTTGTTTTGAGATAGGGTCTCGCTATGCAGTTCAGGCTGGTCTTGAGTTCACTTTGTAGCCCAGGCTGACCTCAAATTTGTAATGATCCTCCTGCCTCAGCCTTATGAGTGCTGGGATTAAAGGCGTGCACCCCCACACTTGGTTGTTGTATTGTATTTTTTTAATTTTTTATTATTTTGAAGGTAGTAAAATATAACAGAACACAACAGAACAAAGCCAGTTTAGACAGTGTAGTGAAATTGGTACAGAACATCACGGCAGGTTACTGGAATAACAGTAATAGGTACCATGGTATATCTCGTTATCTTCACAATAGTTGTTCTTTCAATCAGGTATAGCAAAATCAAACCAAATACAGAACATTATAAAACTTACCAAAACAGAATATTGAATAGAGCAATACAGTTAATCAGAACAAAGCAAAACAGTGACAACATTATTGCCTTCAAAGAAATGGTAGAAGGAAATACCCCCTATTTGCTACATTGCATATGGTTAACCTCCTAAGAGATGCTCAGACCTCTGGCTCCCATTTGCTGATGGGGGGCAGGGGATGTGTTTACCTGCCGGTAGGCTCATGGCTGCTTACTGGGGAGGTAAGTGGGTTGGTTGGCTTCCCAGTGCCCTAAGTTCCAACATGGCGTGGATCTCAGGAGTCGCTGGTTCTCCATCTGGGGCAGCCTCAGTCTGTATTGTATTTTTAAGAGAAAATGACAAGAAAAAAATTCTGCAGATGTTCAGTATAGAACGTTTAAAAGAATATTCTCAGATTGTGATTGGCTGACTCTTTAGGAGCCCCTGGATATGTAGGGCAGACTGCATCAGTGATGCCTAGCACTCCAAAATCCCAGCCCTCTGCAGGAGCTAGTTGGCCACTGCTGGCCTTTCCTTTCTTCCTCCAAGACCCCCACCTGTTTGAGAGCATGGTATGCCATGAACTTGGGGCTAAGGAAGTGTTGGGGAAAGAACCGACTTAGCTTTTTGACAGAAGTTGTAAGTTTCTCCCCCTCCCCCATGTGTGCAAATCACATGCAGGCAGTATCTTTCTCATAAGTGACAAGGTGCTCAAATAGAGTCCTAAGGGCATATACCGAGGAGTTCCTTATTACCGTTAAGACCAAGAAAACAGAATCCACTATAATTTTTTTAGGTACCAGGAATCGAACTTAGTACCCTGTGCTTGTCAGGCAGGTGGTTATGCCCTCCTGGCCCTCCACTCTTGTTCATGCAGCATGTAATTCTCATACAGAATCCTGCCTGGATAGTTTCCCTCTGCCTGGGCCTTGTGTTTGTGTGTGTCTACATGAAGAATGTCATGAGGTGTGCATGTTTACTGATTAACCGTCTGAAACATTGCATGTGCGTTTCAATCAGTGTTTCATCCTAATCTTTCAATGTTACGAGGCACTAGGAAAAAAAGGAAGTGCCTGGTCAGATCTGGGAAGCCCTCGGGTACACAGAGGTTGACAGTTAAGTTGCCCCTTGTTCAGAGCCCTTGGAGGGTTACTGATTGTGACCCATGCAGATTGGTCTTGCTTGGCAGGAAGGGCTGTATGAAATGATCCTGAATGATTTTTATGTGCAGAAAGTAAAGATAAAAGTCCAGAGGGATCAACACCACAGAAACCAACTTTGGGAAACACTGCCTGCCTTCAAATGCGTTTGGAGGCACAACATCTGACTGAATGTGTAGATTGTTAATGTTTGTCATCTGCTTCTTGTCACCCACAGTTAGAATTCAAGTTTCAGCGTCTTATTTAATGGATCATAACTGCTTGACCGCAGCCTACTGTTCCAACCTTAATCTCCCTTATTTCGTCTTAAAACTGCCCTGCTTAGTACTTTGCGTGAAAATCAGGCACTGTTTTGACTTTCGGCACACCTGGGAGTCTGTTTACCTCACTCGGAAGCCTTGTGGTTGTTAAAATGAGCTGCATCTTCTGCAGTGGCCTTGTGGTAGCCGTGATGGTCACCTCTCTTTCCAGGGTTGCCTCGAGCCCCCTGGACTTGCTCCCGCATTTCAGCAGAGCTATGGTTGGGGGTTGTTTCTGCTTTTGTGTTTTGCTCTCTCACTTTGGCCTTAAGCTACGCTGTTAATTATCTTCCATGTATGTCGTGAGTGTGATTGGGTCCCCTGATGACAGCTGGGTGGGGTGACAGGAGGGGCATAGCCTGGATATACAGAAGGGTTCAGGAGTTGCAGTGCACATAGCACCCGTGGGCCACAGCAAATCACAGGTCACAACCTTGCCTAGAGACAGGTGCCAGACAAGGAGACAAGTCAGCACCAAATGCCACTCGAGCAGGCAGAAGCCAGAGGGTACAGGAAAGACCAAAATTGGGAGGCACGGTGCGGGTCAGGAGGGACCTGGGGTAAGGGGAGCCGGCTACAGTGACAGGACTTAAACCCAGAAAGGGCAGACAGTGCCACCAGGGAGGCACAGGAGGTAGGCAGGGTTAGAAGCAGAGACTCCTTGGGAACCACTCAGAGGGGACCCGAGACCTGTCTCACAGTGACAACTCTGCCCTGGCCGGAGGCTCAAACCAATCCCTGCCCAGATGAAATCTGGGTCACTGTCTTGCTGGGACAAAACACCCAACACCCAAAATGAAGGAAGGAAAGCTTTATTTAGCTCACTGTTTGTGGAGGTTTCAGTCCATAATCAGCTGGCTCCAAGGCAGGGTGGCCTGGCTGAGGGGCAACACCAAGGCAGCAGCCAGAGCAAAAGAGGGGGAGTGCCAGCCTCTTTTCCTTGTATTGTACACAAGGTACCCACCTGTAGGGCAGGTGGAGCACTCACAGAATCTCTGTGCCCTCCTTCTGCACAGAGGATATTTACAAAGTGAGGACCCTGGCTCCCTGCTGAGTCTCTCAGTTAAACTTCTAAAGTTCTCAAGTTGACACAGTGTATCAACTCTAACAGTCACTAAAGGCCAACCAAGCCACAACACTGACCCACTCCTACAGCTGCGGCCTCTTACACTCAACAGATCCCACAAGGAAGCCGGGAGAGAACATCCCCAAAGAACATTCTTTGTCCCCAAAAAACCTTTAGCCACCTTAGTCTCAAAGTGACTGTCACCTGGAGAGCTTTCAGGTGTGAAGTATCCCCTCAGCCTCTGCCGGCCTTCTGAGATAAGCATGATCCCGTGCCTGACCCCATGTCCCTGTCACCATAGACCGCAGGTGATGGGGTCCCATGAAGTCTCATCGCCTGGTGATGTCATGGTTGTCTCGATCTGTGTCAGGACTCTGTGATGTTGCCTAACATTGTAGCCTTGGAGAAGCAGCCATGTCCACCTGTCCTCTGCCTGCTGTACAGAGGAGGGGACACTGGCCAGGGGAGGAGGTCACTTCTCTGCAGGTAGTTCGCAGAATGTGGCAGGAACTATTTGGTTGCTTAAAACAAAGAAAAACACTTGCCCAGCCCATCTTCACACAGCTTGATTCCAAAATGCAGGCATTGTTTTGGTTTGTTTTGGGGGACAGTCTCACCCATAACTCATCCTGGCCTTGAACTCACTTTACAGCCCAAGGTGACCTGTACTCTGCAGTGATTGTCAGGTTTCAGCCCCCAGAGTCCTGGGATCATAGGCATGAGGCACCGTACTGGATTCATTGTTAATCTTTGTACTTACCTTACGTCTGGCATCGAGAGATGAATTAAATATACAGGACCCATCTGTGTTTTGTGGATGACTACCTCGATCGTTGATTTTGTTCTAGACTAGTTTTAGAAAATGTGGATTGGCTATATTAATTGTTTTAAAATGTGGAAGCCTGACGGCATGTAAAGAGTAAGTGGACTCTTTGTGGATCCCGTGTGAGCTGGCAGTGAATCACCACCAGTGGGTAATGTCCCAGTCCATGGCCCTTCCGCTACCCGTCATTTGTCCAGAATCAGCCTGTCCCGCCTTTCCTGGCCATGAATGTGCTCCGGGGCAGTTTCTGCACTGTTCTGTCCATTAGAAAGCTTTGCACCGGCTTTCTGAGAGTATTTACTGTTGCGCGGGCAGTGGTCTTTGACTGGGCTTGGGTTTAGGAAACAGGGTCGCCTGCCTGGGTCCCGTCCTGTCTGTGCGCGTGGGCTGAAGTCTGAGCGCTGGGTGTCCTTTCTGATTTTCCTCTTCCACAGCACAGTTATACAAATTAAGTAGTGAAAGAGAAATCAAGAAAGCCACGGTGTTTTTTTTTCTTTTCCACAGCTTGTGTTTCTGGATAACAAGAAGTTACTTAACAGCCCAAACCATCCTACCTTTTATTTTGTCTTTTTTGTTACTGTTGTTGTTGTTGTTGTTTTAATTTTGAGACAGGCTTTTGCTAAATTGTGCAGACAAACTTGTGATTCTCCTGCTTCAGCCTCCCTCAGTGCTGGGATTCCAGGTGTGCAGTGCCACCCCCAGTTTAGCTCAGGTCTGCATTTGTAGTTTCCATTGTTCTAACTGGCATACCTGCTTGCCCACCTGGGCTCTGGGAACCTTATCCAGCAGGCGCCTGGTTCTGGACCCACCCTAGGATCTTATTGCATATCGAGTGCTTGCCTTGGGTCGGACTCCCTGCAAACTGTTGGGAAGAGGAGGGCGGATGGAGGTGGCCCCTATGGGCCTGGTGAGGACCACTGCAGGCCCCCGTGAGCTGGAAGACCTGGGAGTTTCCTGGAAAGTTTCTCTGCAGTAGAGCTACACTTTGAGAAAATAACCAGCTCTTCCCTCGTTCTCAAGTCCAAAGCTGCACTGCTGGAGGACTCACCTGTGATCGTTTGTCCGTGTTTGTTTTCTCCTCTGCCTCAAGCCCAGCTGCACATTAGCAGGACGTAGGCGCTTCTCTCCGATAGGCACTATTATATTGGGTGAGGTGTTACCGTAACTAATTGCGATTATTGATTATCGATTACATAGTGAGTTACTGTGTCTCTCCCGGCTGAACCTTAGTCTCGGTCAGAGCGCAGGCTGTCCCTGAGATAACAGCAGCATGTGGAAAGCGGAGGTGTCCACAAGGCTGAGCTGAATTTGCAAATCTGAAGGGCAAGAAGCCTGGAGACAGGAGCACTTACTGCCCGGTCCCCTCTGGTGTTGCTAGAGAGAGAACCAAGCTGTGACTACAGTGCAGGTAGCCCAGAGTGTGTGTAAACATAAGTCGGGGAGGAACGACTCCTGGGGGATTTGGGCGTCTTGAAAGCCCCACTGTGGGCTTGGAGACGGCAGGGACCATAGGGACAGCAGGGTGGGAATGGGCTCTGGACCTGTGGGTCACATCACCTCTCAGAGCTCAGTTCCTCCATCTGACCCGGGCTGCACGGGATCCCCACTCTCACAGAGGCCAGATGGGAAACGTGGCATCCTAGCGTGGCCAGGGACAGCTGGGGACCCAGCTGTGTGTCAGTGGTGCCTCAACAAACACCCTCAGTGATCCTCTCACCCAGCCTGGTCCAGTACTTGATCCCCTGGTGGCTCCCTTGAGGACGAAGTTCAGAGTCATCACCCAGTGGCCTCTGCCTACCCCTCACCACACTCCTGTCCCCTCCCGCATCAGCCTTGAGTGGACACCGTCCCTCCTGTGCCGAGTGACTCCTGCACTGTCTCCACTTCCCTCCGTCCCTTCCTCGGGGGCAGGAAGGGCCCCGTCTTATTATTTTCCCCTCTGGCAGGAGCGGGTCTGCAGCGCAGATATACTGCCTGGGAGCACCTGCTGTTGGGCCCATGAGTTTATCCTCCGGGGAAGTCTGAAATCTGCTCTGAGAGCTGTTGTCATTCTAGGTGACAGTTTAGGGGTAAAGTGGCAGGAAGAGAGTGTGAGGGCTGCCAGGAGAACGGTCGAGGTGTCTGAGGAAAGAAGCGAGAGGGAGGGAGGGCCGAAGAAATCCAGGAAGCCAGAGTTGGAGGGAAGAAGGGCAGCAGCAAGGGCGGTGACTAGTAGGGACCTCAGTGTCACCCATCTATGGCAGCAGTGCCCTGACGACTTCGGATGCCCCTCCCGAATGAGTCCACTCTGTGCTCCCCGAGTCGCCCCTCCCTTAAGGCTGCACAATCACAGCCTTGTCCTGCTCGGACCACGTGGGCAGCTGACAAGAGCTCTCTCCCCCGGATGCAGGCAGGCTGGGCACAAATGTCCCAGCCGTGTGACCCCTGGGGCCATGCAGCCTTCCCCTTATGCGGAGTCATGCCATCTCCTTAAGGCGGGAGTGACCGTCCCTCTCTCTCTCGGGGCTGCTGTGAAGCTCGAAGAAGTAGGGTACTAAGTGCACCATGCAGCTGCTTGCGAAGCTGCCAGGCTGCCCTGGGTGCGAAGCTCTGGGTATCATTCGGCTGAATTTCGTGCCCAGTGGACCCCACGGTTCCTCCGTGCCGCGTTCAGGAGGAGGATGACACTTCCCTCTTCACAGGGCCGCTCTGAGCTCAGGAAGCTGGCGCCCGGTGACTGGGACACGAGGCAGCCATGGCCCTCCCCTTCCAGAAGGAGCTGGAGAAATACAAGAATCTCGATGAGGATGAGCTCCTTGGCAAGCTGTCTGCAGAGGAGCTGCAGCAGCTGGAAAATGTGCTCGATGACCTAGATCCCCAGGTTGGTGTTTGGGCGGACGGGTGTCGTGGTCATCTCACTAGAGCCGGCTGACTGTGACTCCCTGGGGACACAGGCCAGGGGCTCCCGGAGGGCTGAGGTCACTCACTTTCACAAGCTCGTAGAGGACCTCACAGGAGCTCTTGCAAAGCTGAGCTGCATGCTCTGGTGTTTGTGTAACAAGCACTTTTCTCATTCCTGATGGTGCTGTCTTCTGCTCAGCAGCATTCAGAATCACGCTTTGACTGTAAAGGTGTAGCTGAAGTGAAAATTTTTATGTGGCATTCTGCTATGCTAGGTTCTTCAGGTATTTTAAAAATACAAGTATAAAGTTTGCTCTTTTTTTGGTACAGGGGATTAAACTCACAACCTCAAGCTTGCCAGGCGGGTGCTTATACCACTGAGCTACATCTTCAGCCCCCTGGTTTTCTCTTTTTTTTAAGCAAAGATGAACTCTAAAAGCTTGATGGAGCAGAGATCCTCATCTCCCATGGGACTCACCCGCCTGTTTCTTTCTTTCTTTTTCTTCTTCTTCTTTTTTTTTTTTTTTTTTTTTTTTGTCTTTTTGAGACAGGGTCTCTCTGTGCAATTCAGGCTGGCCTTGAGCTCACTTTGTAGCCCAGGCTGGTCTCAAACTCACAACTATCCTCCTGCCTCAGCCTCATGAGTGCTGGGATTACAAGGATGAGTCACCTGCTTGTTTCTGCAGGAGGTGGTTAGAACAGGGGGGGCTCCTTGCTGGGGTCCCCCCGTGTTGCCCAGCGAGCATTTGGGGCCCACACCCAGCCCAACCTAATGCAACTACCGAGACAGAGGCCATCACGTTGCAGTTCTGCGAGCCTTTTGGCATGGGATGATGAACAAGCAGGGCGGCAGAGCTGACCCTGGCCTGTGCAAAGGTCCCTCTCCCCACTCCCCACTTCAGCCAGACCTTAGATGAGGTCACCCTCCTTCCTGCTCACACCTCTGTCCCCACAGAGTGCCACACTGCCTGCCGGGCTCCGGCAGAAAGACCAGACGCAGAAGGCGGCCACTGGCCCGTTCGACCGCGAGCACCTCCTCATGTACCTGGAGAAGGAGGCCCTGGAGCAGAAGGACAGGGAGGACTTCGTGCCCTTCACTGGAGAAAAGAAAGGTGAGGCCCGGGCAGTGCCCTGGGGACAAAGGTCCCCTTGCTGGGTTGTCTCAGAAGCTCAGAGAGGGGCCATACCCGGAAACGGTTTCCTGGCATTGTGGGCTGGGGGTGCACAGCTTCGAGCAGTGGTGGTGAACCCAGGACATGCAGGCTGCAGCTGCTGTGATCACTGAAAGCCCGCAAAGCTCCTCCGTCACTGGGCTGGGCGGTTCCCCCGTGGGTCTCCAGGGCTCTGTGAGTGGGATTCGGGGAGCACAGGTGAGAGATGAGAGTTCTCTGTACTCCAAGTGTCATTTGGCTGGGAACCTAAAACCGTGGTGAAAACCAAAGCCCCCTCACTCAGAAGAGCACCAGGAGGATGCATGGCCTGAGAGTGAGCCCTCCGACTCCCAAGGAGAGGTTTTGAGTCCTTAAGGCAGAGCTGTCTGAGTGGCTCCACCCTGAGTGGAACTTCCTGGGCCCAAGCCTCACAGGAGCCGAAATGGCAGGGCCCTGGCACCTTACCAGGCTCAGGGCAGCAAGAGGGCCAGCACACCCAGCCAGTCACTGTGCAGAACCTGCCACACCTTCCCCGACCTCCAGATACCAGGGTGAGGAGTGCACCATGGGGTGGGGAAGCTGTGAGGGCTGAGGATGTCCCTGAGCCAGGACAAAGGCACCATCCTCTCTCACGCCCAACTCAGCTTCCCTTTGCAGGGAGGATAGGTATCAGTCACTGTCCCCACCAGGCAGGAGGATGGCAAGTTCAAGCTCGGCATGGGCAACTTAGCCAGATGCTGTCTCAGAATAGAGGAGGGCTGGGGATGTAGCTCAGGGAGAGGGCCTGGCTTCAAATCCAGTACTGCAAAAAATAAAAAGAAAATTAGCCTCTCAAACTTCCAGCACTACAGACAGCGACCTGGGCCCATGGATGCTAACAGGGTCTTCAGTGACCCTGCACTAAACAGAGTATTTAAAGTCCAAAACAGACTTGCCACCTCTTTCAGTCCTAGCCCACTGACCTGCTCGGCCTCTTGGTCTCACTCTGACCTTCTGGACGTGGCAGCCCGGGACCCTGCCCCAAGTTTCCCATCCTAAGACTGGGTGTGATGTCAGCCCTGGCCTCCTGGCCTCTGTCTGAACTGAGCCCCTCTCTCCAGAGCGCTGGGTGACTGCCATGGCACGACAGTGCTGCTCGCCTCTCTTCCTCTGCTCGGTCTCGGTGGGGATTCCTGCCTGGCACACGTGGAGAACGCTGCTGACAAAGTCAAGTCCAGCAGTGGCGAACTGGGTACTGACCAGGATTATTCTGGAAATGCAGAGCTGTTTCTATGGTAACAGAGTTGAGATGTGCAGGAATGAAACAATCATGTAGAATCTTCATTCGCCACAAGTACAGGCAGGGACAGCGCAGGAGGGAGCTTCTGTGTGCTCGGAGTCGAGGTCGAGGCATGTCGTGATTCTCTTGGACCAAATTAACTTGCAAGAGAGGCCGGGGATTTAGCTCAGTATCACAGTGCCTGCCTGGCAAGTGTGAGGTCATGAGTTTGATTTCCAGTACCAAAAAAACCCAAAACAAACAAAACCCTGCAGGTGGCTCACAGGAGTCAGATACACAGACACCTGTGCCAGCATCCTAGGGCTGCACAGTGTGGTCCCCACAGTGGCATGGAGACCACCACAGAGTCCAGGGCTGGACATTGTTCAGGGCAGCGTTGATGGCAGCTGGACCCATCAGCTGCTGTCCCTAACACTGCCCAGTGTTGGGCCACCTGGGCCCCGAGTTTCAGAAACAGCACAGAAAGGGGAAGTCGGGAAGCTTGTAATGCTGCTAGACCCTGAGCCGGAGGCTGGAGTCCCCAGCCATCGACGCTCTGGAGTGGGGCTAGAGATGGCACCATGCCTGGGGTTAGGGCCTGGTCTGTCTCCTGGCTGCTTCTCCCACTTCCTCCTGTGCTCCTCCATGTCCCCCTCCTTCGAGAGAGTGCAGCTGAGAAGGTGGTGCTGAGGCAGAAGACAGGGCATTTGTCAGTGCCCCTCTGCCAGGGAGCTGCGCCCATCTCTGCAGGGCGGGGCGCCCCACTCTGCTGGCTGCACTGTGTGGTGGAGCAGCAAGGTGACACAGTTGCCATCAGGAAGGCAGGCTGCCTGGGCTCTGAGGGCAGGGAGTCCAGCATCCCCAGGGCCGGAGCACTGGGGAGTGTGGGCTGTGGACTGGGTTCCCGGTGCTGGCCTCAGCTGAAGAGTCAGGAGTGCATGGGCATGAGCCAGCCTCCCGGTGAATCACAGCACCCATGTTTTCTCTTCTGATTTAAGGGAGAGTCTTTATCCCCAAAGAAAAGCCTGTGGAACCTCGGCAAGAAGAAAAGGTGACCCTGGACCCAGAGCTGGAGGAAGCCTTGGCCGGCGCCTCGGACACAGAGCTCTACGATCTGGCAGGTGAGTCTCCATGCTGACCACTGCCACGTGTCCACGCCCTCTGTGACCCCTGGGTGCCCTCTTGCAGGCTCCTGTGCAAGGTGGGGTGCTTGGGGCTGTCTGGGAGTTGCTGTGGGGACATGGGGACGTCCTGTCCTCCTCTGGATGGATGCAGGGTGGGACTTGGATTCCCAGGAAATACCTGGGAAAGGAGGGTAGAGGCAGATGCCAGTCATTTGGGGGATCCGAGTCCATGCAGTAAAACCAGGGGGATGAAGCAAGTGGACACCGCCTTGGATGCACTCACTCAGCCTCTGCCCTGCCCCGGGCTCCCTGGGAACTCAGGGGCTCAGCAGATGGGGACTGGGGAGACTCCTGCACCACTTGGTCCCTCAGCAAATGACTGGAGACCAGGACAAGTGGTTGTCAAGGGGCAGCTATGGGTCTCTATGGCAGCCCCTCCCAGACTGGTCATCAGGCAGAGGCAGCTTGCAGCGTGCTGGTCTAGAGATTTTATTCTGTGGGCACACATGGCGTGGGGCCACTTGGAGCAGGATGGTGGGGCAGATCAGTTGGCCACACTCATGGCAAAAGCATCAGACCAAAATTAAAACCTGTCATCCTAGCAACCTGGAAGGCTGAGGCAGGAGGGTAGCTTGAGGCCAGGAGTTCAGGGCCAGCGCAGGCAACACAGGGAGTCCTCAGATTTCAAAAACTAAGTAAGGAAAGTTGAGCGTGGTCCCTCACACCTATAATCCCAGTTACTCAGGAGGGCAAGGCAGAGGCATTGTAAGTTCGGCACCAGCCTGCACTACTCAGCGAGGTTCTGTCTCAAGATAAAAAGGGCCGGGGCAAGCTTCCGTGGTAGAGCAGCCCTAGGCTCCATCCTCATTATGAACAACCCACCAACCTGGGCAGCAGAGCCCAGTTACTGTGTGTAAGTAGAAGCTGCTCAGCAGTCACAGGGCCAGGTGTGTGGTGGGCACCTCAGTGGCCTGTGCTTATCACAGGGCACCTTTGCCCGGTGTAGTGGCACCCCCTGTAGTCCCAGCTACTCTGGAGGCTGAGGCGGGAGGATCGCCTGGCCTAGACACCTTAGCAAACGCAGTCTCCAGAAATAAAAGGGCAGTTTCACAGTCGGTCCTAGGCCAGCCTGAACTACATAGCCTGTCTCAAAACAATTTAAAATAGAATGGCTGAAGACACTGCTCAGTGCCCTTGGGTTCAATCCCTGCCACTGGAGGAAGAGAGAGGGAGAGAGAGAGGAAGAGAGGGGTAGGGTGGGAGACAGGCAGACAGACAGACACTGACTTTCTCACTAGACAACACCAGACAGGTGGTGACAATTTCTTAGTTATTCAACAATGTGTGAAGTCCGTACAAGAGCACCTGACACACAGGAGGAATTCATTTACCCTCTGAATAAGTAAGGTAGAATTAGCATGCCTCCTTTCTAAGAGTGAAGTCACACAGGTGTGTGGTGACTTTGCAGGTGACATGGTGGCTTCTGGATTCAGACTGTGGTGGCCTCTCCGCCTGGCTGGTCCTATTTGGGCACCGCCCCCGCACTGGGATGGAGGTTACAGCCTGGGTGGAGTTGATGGTCTGGGTGGGGCTTTTCTGGTTCACAGTGGAGAGGTCTCCAGCTAAGGGCCAGCTGGTCCCCGCCCTGCCCACATCTCACCATGCTGCCCCTGGTGCAAGCTACGGGTATCCAGAGACACTGACATCCCCGAAGGGCAGAGAGGCAGGGGCGGAGGCCAGCAGCTGCTCTCTGTGTGCAGCTTGGGACGCTGAAGGCTGGGAAAGGACAGAGCCTTTGAGGACTGAGACAGGCAGTGGGGGTGCTGATGTGAAAAAGGACCATGGTTTTTCTAGTTTTGCCCCTAAAAGAGTATATCCAGTCATCCATGTAATGTCAGGCCTTGAAACCTTTTGACTCATTGGTAGGAAAAGGTTTGCACCCGGAGACCATAATGCTCATGAGACAAATCCGATGCACAGATTAAGTCACATGGTTTCTCTTAGGTGAGCAACCCAGATTACAAATATGGGAAAGACCAAAACAAGAGTCAGAGACAGGAGGAGGGAGACGAGGGTCAGGAGACAGGTGTGGAAAGAGAATGGCGGCGTGTCCTGTGCACGGACCAGCACCCCACAAGGCGTATGATCGTCACATGCTGCAGATATGGACTGAAAGACATAAAAAAGTTTGGGCCAGTGTGGTGATACACACCTGTAATCCCAACGCTCAGGAAGCTGAGGCAGGAGGATTGTTGTGAGTTCGAGACCATCTTGGGCTACCAAGTGAGCTCAAGGCCTGCCTGAGCTGCATAGGGAGACCCTGTCTCATAAAGACAAAAAGAAAAGAAATAAATAAATGAGTGAGGGGCTGGGGATTTAGCTCAGTGGCATAAGTGCCTGCCTTGCAAGCAGGCAGTCTTGAGTTCGATCCCTGGTACCGATAAAAAAGAAAAAGACCAATAAATAAATAAATAAATAAATAAATGAGTGTGAGGGACAAAAATCACTTGGACCTGTTTTACGAATAAGAAAACTGAATGGTCTGTCTCCCTAACTAGAGTCTGGGTAGCTGTGAGTCATGGGGCATCACTGGACCACTGTATCTAGGGCCTTGTGCTGTCCATGCGTTTCCAAAGGCGCGTGGGCATCCAAGAGGACACTGTGAACACCCTGCATGCCCCACCCACATGACTCGGGTTTCCAGAGAACCCTGAGAACTGTTCTTCAGGGTGCGGGGGAGGAGCCTGGACAGGGACACAGCTGCTCCCCACCCAACGCTGCTTCCTGTGCCTCTGTCCACAGCCGTCCTCGGAGTCCACAATTTGCTCAACAACCCCAAGTTTGATGAAGAAACGGCCAACGGCAAAGGCGGCAAGGGTCCCGTGAGGAGTAAGTCGCCACGGGCTTGGGTTCCATCCCCTCTTGGGGCTCTTCTAGCTCTGCCCCGAACGGCACCAGTGCGTGTTCTCCGGAACCCACCTTCTGGGCTGGCCTGTTTAGCCGGAAGAGAAATTGCCAAGTAAGAGGTTGTCAGCACCAAATGCAAACAAAGCCACCTGCTCCTGAGCTGGGACTGCGGTGCAGCTGCTGACCAAGGTCCCCTCCCTGGTGGACAAGCATCCCCTTGTCTCCTAGGTGTGCTTGTCCCCCTCTAACCCGGGGAGCTGAAGGACCCTGGACCAGCCTTCCTAGCACAGAAGGCAGAGTCCGCCGTCTTAGATTCAGTGTGTCTCAGAAAAGTGCCAGGGCATGAGGTGCATGTTCACTCCTCAGTCATCTTCTGAGACCCTGCTGTGTGTCAGGAATTTCCAGGCATAGGTGCAGAGGTGGGTCCGGCCCAGAGGAGCTCACCTGTCCAGGTAGGCAGGGACCTTTCATCAGGAGTCTTAGCACATGCTGAGCCAGGGCTGGGAAAACTCCGAATGGTTACATTTTCAGCCATTTATCACAGTAGAAAACATTGTTGGGAGGGTCCCCTTCCATGCCCCCCACGATCCCAGGTCTCCCACCCCTTTCTGCAGCAGCTCTGGAGTGCTCTTTCCTGAGGGTCTTTACTTGCACTGTGGTGGCTGCCTCAATTTCCTGAATCGATTCAAAACGTTTCCCTTTTGTGATTATTTTCACTTTGGGGAAGAGCCGGAAGTCGCACAGTGCAGGACCCAGTGAATAAGGTGGACAAGGACATGGCATCCTGTGTTTATGAGCTGCCTTTCTCTTTAACAGTACATGTGGTGACATCCACTGTGTATTTGATCTACCCCATAAAGACACTTGGGAAAGACTCCGGAGCTGCTTCAAAACTGGCAAGAATCATGGGATAAGCATGCTAAGCAAGTGGGAGGGCTCTGGGGGGATTCATAACAGAGTGTCTTAGCTGGGCGTGATGGCACACTCCTGTGATCCCAGCACTCGGGAGGCTGAGGTAGGAGGGTCACTACGAGTTTGAGACCAGCCTGGGCTACAAAGTGAGCTCAAGGCCAGCCTGAACTGCATGGCGAGATGCTGTCTCAAAAGGACAAGAAAAAAAAAAAAAAAAAAAAAAACTCAAAAAACAAAAAAGTGAGTCTTTTCTATAATAAATTGTAAATTTAAATACATGATTTTGAAATCTAAATGAAAAAAATTTATTAAGGCAATTAGACCTGTGAGTTGCAAAAGAACATTTGGCACAGGGCTAGGGATTCGCTCAGGGGTGTAAGCACCTGCCTGGCAAGGGCTCGAAACAGAGATCATGGTCATGAGTTCGATCCCCGGCACCAAAAACAACAACAACAACAAAAAAGAACATATGGCGTGATGACAGATTCGTTTCTTTTTTGACCCCAAAACATGTGAGCACCGATTACATCCACTTTGTGCTCAGCCCTCTTGGATTAATTATGGCTTATTCTCTCTGAGCGGGTTGCAGGTGCTTTCTCCTCACAGGAGTGTATTTGTGATTGTATCACTGGCCTCTTGCAAACCCTGACCTTGTGCAGTGTCTATCTCCCTCATTCTAACCACACAGCAGCGTCTTGGCCCATGATTGTGCCGGAACTGACCCATTTTCACACTGCCGAACATCAACGTACCGTGTTTCACCGTCAAAAGTACCTCATCAGGAAACACCTAGTACATCTTTTTATGCAGTCAGTCTGTTTCTTCCATAAGTGAGACTTCTAGATATAGAATTGGCAGGTCATACAGCACATTTTAAATGTTAATAGATAGTACCAAATTACCCCTGGGTGTGGTGGACAGTGCTTGTAATCCCAGCACTCCAGAGGCTGAAACAGGAAAGTTACAGTGAGTTTGAGGTAGGTGGTGGCACAGAGCATCAGGAGGCTGAGGCAGGAGGGTGACTGCTAGTTTGAGGCCAGCATGGGCTCCCTTGTGAATTCAGGCCACCCCGAGCTGTATGGTGAGACCCTGTCTCGGTGCTCTCCCACACCCGTGCCTGCTTAACTGAGGATAAGCCTAGTGTTCTTAGGGCCTTCCTGGGATCAGAGCCTGGGCAGTGACTTTCACTTCAGGGATACATGTGAGCTCCGTTTCCAGCCCTTGCGTTTCATCTTAGAGGTGAAATTTGTGTTGCAGACGTGGTGAAAGGTGAGAAGGTCAAGCCATTATTTGAGGAACCGCCCAACCCCACCAACGTGGAAGTCAGCCTGCAGCAGATGAAGGCCAACGACCCCAGCCTGCAGGAAGTGAACCTCAACAACATCAAGGTAGCCCACGGAGATGGTGACCCACTGCCGGCCCCTCCTCCGCCTGCTGTTGGGCCTTTTCAGCTCTCTGGTCATGGATTTTGAGGTGCCAGGCCCTACTCACAGAAGTAGACTTTTATTTATCTTTTTCTTTCAAAACATTTTTTCCAAATCCATTTTATTTCAAAGAGAAAAAAAACATCTACAACAAAATTTCAGAACACGTCGGTCAGGGGCAACAATGGTACATACATTGCCATTTGTCATCCCCTCATGTGTGTCGACACTCACATCTCCAAGGCTGCTTCTGTTCATTCTCCTGGGACAAATCCCTAGCATCCAGTAATACTCGTATGGAGTAGTCAGAGTGACACTTTGGATCTCATTTAACCATCAATAAAGACACAAAGAGGTTACTTGTTAGGGTCTTAGTGTAAAGGCTGCTGTGCCCCAGCTGTGCCCGCACCTTCCTCCCAGAGCTGGCACTGAGCTGTGCTCCGTAACAGAGAGGGCCAAGCAAGTCCAAGTGTATCAGGAGGAAAACACCACACAGGTGACCACACTGAGATGTGGCATCGTAGGGAAGGAAGATCCGAGAGCTGCCCGGGTGGCCAGCAGGCCACGAAGGGAGGTTCCCACTGGGCCTTGAACGACGAGCAGGACTGAGTTGGAGAAAGGGCCAGAGGGAGGTTGAGGCAGAAGGAAAAGCCTAAGGGTGTGGAGGAGACCGTCAATGGCGCAGGGAAGGAGGGACAGCTGGGCCAGTCTGGCTAGAACCTAGGAAATGGAGGAGAAAAGAGATTGAAGTAGCGTGCACACATGCTTGTGAATGTGTGCGTGCCTGCAGGTGCATGTGCATGCACACATGTATGTGTGCATGTGTGTGTGCACACACATGTGTTTCTGGGTTAGGGAAACCAGGGTGTGCCTCTGTGTTCAGTTTCCCTATTGAACACTGGGTGGCGCCATTGCCCCAGGAGAGCCTGGCCTTGGGGCTGGGCACTGAACCTCTCTCCCAACACAGCTGAGTTTCAAAAGTTGTGGGGGGTGGGGGGGGCGGTGGTACAGCATGTGCTCAGCATGTGTGAGGCAGGCACGCACACACATGGCCAGGTCCTTGGCCTAGGTGCGAGTGCTGCAGCAAGGTCGCTCTGATAACCTGGTGTCCCCTGTGCCACAGAACATCCCCATTCCGACACTGAAGGACTTCGCCAAAGCCCTGGAGACCAACACACACGTGAAGAAGTTCAGCCTGGCCGCCACCCGCAGCAACGACCCCGTGGCCATAGTGAGTGGGGCCCGGAGGCGATGGGTCTCGGGGTCCGCAGGGACAGTGGGCTGGGCAGGGATGCATCCCAACCCTGCGCTGCTGTTCCCCAAGCACAAAACAAGACACACAGCTCAGGAAATATTTAAGGCTTGTTCTGTGCTTGGCCACACTTTCTGAAAGGTTCTCTTCAAGGTTGCATTTTGTTACCAGTGTTAGATAATTTGACCCCAAATCCTACAGAAGCTAGATATGTGCAAATGTAGTAAAGCATAGTTTACGTTTATGTGTGAAGCGGATCACGCAAAGGTGTTGAACAGCCAGATACGGAAGCAGGCTTTTTGTTAAGGAGGATGTGGGGAGATGGAAGTATGTATGACAGAGGGCAGGAAAGCAGGAATGCTGTCTCTGAGCCGGCACGGCATCGGGGCTGGAAAGTACTCCTTAGATGAACCCATTGTGGTGACCTCTAGCCCCTCAGCATCAGAGAATATTCCCGTCATCGCGACAGCAAACCTGAAGTGAGCACGGGTAGAAAGACTGAGCTACAAAAGCAATGTTTTCGCCAGCAGTGATTATGTAGGCAAATGTGTGAGTCGGAAGCAGTTTTGAACTTGAAACCTCTTATTAAAATGAAAAAAAAGAACTGGGTGTGGTGGTGCAACCCTGTAATCCCAGCACTCAGGAGGTAGAGGCAGGAGGACCAACCCCAATTTGAGGCCAGCCTGGGATGTATAATAAATTCAAGGCCAGCCTGAACTACATAGGAGACCCTGTCTCAAAAAAACAGAACAGAGACCGGGGATTTAGCTCAGTGGTGTAAGTGCCTGCTTGGCAAACTCGAGGTCATGAATTCGATCCCTGGCACCAAAAAGAAATAAAAATAAAAATAAAACAGAGCAATAATAATAATAGAAAAATGAAATATCATCGTAAACTAAAATGAGCAGTCAAATGAGTTGTATCTGTGGACAATTTGTATCATCTCTGTCCTTAAACAGATTTGTTTAAAAACAAAAGCGTGCACAATAGGGACGCTTGGGGTCTGAATGAATAAAGGGCTGCACAAAGGGAGGCTCCTTGCGGTGGGAAGGTGGGGACGGTTGGAGGTCTGCTGGCAGCACTGCCAGTCAGAGCGCTAACTCCCATCCTAGGACCTAGCTAAGGAGCCGGGGACCAGAGGAATCACAAAGATAGGCTCCTTGCTCTGCTTTTAATGCACCACTCTGAGCATTAAAAGCACAGGACAAAAATTAGTATCAGTGTTCCGGCATATTTGACCTCTTTTGTAATTTGCTTTTTAAAAAATACCTGGTTTAAGCTAAGCATGGTGGCAACAGCTGTCATCCCAACACTTGGGAGACTGAGGCAGGAGGATCACTGTTTGAGGCCACTCTGGGCTACATAGTGAGTTCAAGGCCAACCTGAACTGCAAAGTGAGACCCTGTTTAAAAAAAAAAAAAAAAACCATCCACCCACCTGTCCGGCCAAGTGGATGATTTGCTGCTGTTTTCTGAAAGCCATCACTTTCTCTTCCACTGGGACTGAGGCGTGAAACACCTCATTCTCCCTCTGTGTCTCTTCCTAACAGGGTCAGGAGAGACAGAACAAGAACCAAGGGAAAGAAGCCAGGGTTTAGGAAATATTTTCTCCTTTTTTGTTTTGTTATGTTGTGTGTTTGAGATAGAGTCCCACCGTGTAGTTCAGGCTGACCTTGAATTTAGGGAGATCCTCCTGCCTCTGCCCCATAGTGCTGGGATGACAGACATGCACCACCACACCTGGCTAGGAAATATTTTCTTTTTTTTTTTTTTTAAATCGGTACTGGGGATCGAACTCACAACCATGTACTTGCAAAAGCAGGTGCTTATGCCGCTGAGCTAGATCCCCAGCCTGAGGAAACGTTTTCTTGATGGTTGCTGGCCCCAAGTTCCTCAGAAGCCCTTTGAGAAAGTCCTCATTTTTAGCATCCAGACGTGTGTTGAGGAGGTATCTGATAGTGGATGTCATTTGTGCTCCTGAATCTTCGCTGCTTTTGATAATTAGTTATCATCCTGCTAACCCGCTGGGGTCTTGAAAGACTATGTCATTGGCCTCAGTCCCCTTGTGTCCTCATCAAGAGCTGTTTACTTAACATGAAAGCCTTAGATTTCAGGGATCGTGACAACCACAGTTACATTAACTTGACACAGTAGTTTAAAATTACAGGTGGCCGGGGGTGAAGATCAGTGGCAGGGCACTTGCCTAGCTGCATGAGGCCTTTCGCTCAATCCCAGTACTGCCTGGAGTTTTAAAAATTATATTTAAAATCACTTTTCTTTTTTTTTTTTTTTGGTCTTTTTCATTTTTATCGGTACCAGGGATCAAACTCAGGACTGCCTGCTTGCAAGGCAGGCGTGTATGCCACTGAGCTAAATCCCCAGCCCAAAATCACTTTTCAAAACCTTATGATGATGGCTGCTGCTCAGGATTACTCGCTGATAAAAGTCGGGACCAAGCCTGGTGTGGTGGCTCACACCTGTCATCCCAACACTCGGGAGGAGGCTGAGGCAGGAAGATCATTGTGAGCTCAAGGCCAGTCTGGGCCTCACAGTGAGACCCTGGCTCAAAACAAAGCAAAACCAAACTTAAGCACGAAAGCCAGGAACTCTGGGAGGCTTTTCTATTTAAAGTCAAAAACAAGGCTCAACCGGGGGCTCCTGGGATTATGAGAAAACAGGAGCTGCGGGCAGGAAGTGACGTCACCCGCGCCTCACTGAGGAGGCAGTTTCACTCGGGAGCTGGAGGCACAGCGAGTGGTCAAGGCCAGCGTTAGTCACCGGTCATCAGGAGCAGCTCTCCCGGCCCCAGTATCAGGGTGCAGGACAGAACCTGCCCTGACTGATGGCCTGGAGGTGTGGGCACTGCTGTTATTGACCATGCTGCCGGTGCTTCATGGAAACCAGAAGTTTAGCACCATCCAGTAGCAAGCAAATGGGACCTGTGTGTCATTTTAAATCATGGCCACTTTAGGAAATGAACAAAGAAAATCTATAATCCTGGACTCAGGAGGCTGAGGCAGGAGAATGGTGAGAGGGAAGCCATCCTGGACTACCAAGACCCTGTCTTGAAGAACAGAAAAATGAGAAGGAGAAGAAGAGGAAGAGGAAGGAGAATGAGAAGGAGAAGAAATAGGAAAAACAAAATCACTAAGTGACTTTAAACTAATACCATCTCAGAGTGGAGCTTGGAAACGTACTGTGGTGTCCCCACCCACCTCAGGACATCTTTGCCGCCCTGGGCACTGTCCCCACCAGCACGTCCCACGCCAAGGGCCACCCTTGAGCTTTGTTTCTCTTGGCTGCCACCGGGAAGCACAAAAACCCCATTTTCATACAGTCCTGGAAGGTACTAGGAGCAAAACCTTCTGCTTCAGGTGCTTCTCTGCTCTTGTCGTTTATGTAACACGCACAGTCTCCCTTTGGCTTCCTGTCAGTGTCACCCCAGCACTCGTGACACACGCCACCCCCCGCAAACCCCCATCTGGGGGACTTAAATGACAGCCTGACTAGCACACATGTGGCCTGGGCCTTGCCTGCTTGGTTTGTAAAAGAAATTGGCAGGATCCCTGCCTCGGCTGGGCTGGGGTCCTGCAACCTTCTGTGAGGGACTGTCACACTGACACCTGGCTGTTCGGAACCTGAAGCGGAACGGGGCTAAAGGCTCCTCACGCTCCTCCCTGGGCTCGGCCTCCCATGTGCGCATCTGATTTGAATTAAGAAACGCGCTTTCAGGTGCGTGGTGCCCGGCACCTTCTGTCCAGAGCCGTGAGCCTTCTTTGCAGCTCACATCACTGCCTGGTGATACACTGGGTTCTTCTCTGGGCCCCATGGCTGTCACCCTACGGGCGCTCCCAAGGTCACTGGGTGTGGATGTTTGTCTGCAGGTGGTTCCTGCTGCTGTACCGGGAGGAGAGCCAGGGGCATGCAGCTGCCAGCCATCCACCGGCACCCGGGACAACCCCTCATGACAGAGATCCTCGTTCTGGCACCAAGTGTCATGGGTCACATGTGTGGGAGGCTCTGGTCCCTCCCTGCTGAATTCCTTCCCCTCTTCCTCCCAGTCCTCTCCGCATAAACACAAGGGAAACAGCTCAGAGCTTCCTGCTTCTCTGCCTTGAGCAAGCAGGACAGGCAGCTTGTCTTCATTCTTCTCCTTTTGTCTTTTCACTGTAATTTAGGTGGCCTGGCCCACCTGGAGATCGTGCCACAGCCTGGGGCGGACCGTGCCTCGGTTGGTCCCAGCGGGCAGCTCTGCCATCATTTCCTACCCTTCGTCTTCCGCCTCTGAACTGTGGCCCTGCCGCCTTCCCTTTCCAGGAACCAACACTTGTCAGTGGCTCTGTAGTCACAAGACTGAATTCAAGTCCCCCTCCCTTCCTGGTTGGGGACCAGCCCTGGGCTGGCTCTTGCCCCCTTGCAGGTGACTCCTGGGAACTTTTAGGTCCCTCAGGCTCCTTGTGAGTTTGACATGTCATTGTGTGCTCTGACGGGAGTGTTTCTCTCATTCTGCTCAGCAGTTAGCGCAGTCTCCAGTGCTGGGGAAGTTCTCCCATGGAGTATTTGAGAATTTCTCTTTTTCTTGTCTTTTTAGGTTTATTGTTGGGTCCTCTTGGGTTTATATTGGACCACTCCGTCTTTTCCTGTGTGTCTCTGTCATCGTTCTGATGTTTTTCTGTCAGCATCCTGGGAAATCCCTCAGCTTTGTCCTCCAGTTAACCCTGCTCAGTTTATATTTCCCATGCTCATTACTCTCCTCTGTCTCAGTACAGTGCTTCTGATTTTCTTCTTCCTCTTTTACATATGTGTACTGCAGTGGATGTGGTCACACATACTTTACTCCCAGCATTGGGGAGGCTGAGGAAAAATAGCACTGTGAGTCTGAGGCTGTCTGAGAAAAACTAAAATAATAATAATAAATACAAACTGGTGTTTATCCTATGGATACCATGCCTTTCTTTCCTTATTCTGGAGGAAGGACGGTCAGAGTGTCCATCCTGGCTTTTGTTCCTTCTCTAGTGTGTCGTTCTGCTCAGTCACCATGGCTTCCTGCTCTCAAGAGGTTGATTTTTCTAATGTACCCAGCACTTTCTGGTTGTTTGCTGGATTTATGAGTGGAGGCAGGTTGTTCAGTATAAACTAGAATCCTTTCTTGTGCAGGTCTGTTCACGACAGGCTTTCTCTCAAAAAGGAGACTGTTTGTCATTCTGCAGCTGTCACATCTGATAATAATTATCATCTCATTGACTGTGCCCTCTTGCTCAAATATAAGCTGCCAAAGTCAGGGTTTCTGTTGCCTTTACTCTGGAGCACCATAGAACCTGGCAGTTTTTTCTGGGTGGATAGGTGAATGGATGCATAGGATAGGTGGATGGTGGGTGGATGGACAGATGAGTGGTTGGTTGGGTGGATAAGTGGATGGATGGGTGGATGAATGGGTGAGTGGATGGATGGATAGATAGGTGGGATGGATAGATGGGTGAATGGGTGGACAGATGCATAGATGGGTGCGTGGGTGGGTGAAAGAAGGAAGGAAGAAAGGAATGGAGGAAGGAAGGGGTGCTCTTTCCAGCAGGCAGGTGAGCTACCCAGCAGCCTTCTCTGTGGTGGTCTGAGGAGCCGGCAGCAATGTGGGCCCCAGCATCCACCATGGTCACTGCTACAGTCGGGAGGCTGAGCAATGTGTCCTGGTATTATAGACCGATAAGTGAGCTAGAAATTAATAGGCAGTCAGACAGGGCTGGGCCCTCGGGGAATCAGTGCAGAAGATAAGAACATGTCACAGCTGTTGCTGGAGGCCCATCTGAAGAAGCCTAGGCTGACCCACATTCCTCCCCTCAGGGTGCAATCCTGCAGTTTGCCATTGTACTGTAATTGGTACCACCCGGCCCAACAAAGTCTAGGTAGGCATCAGTCAGCCAGGCGGGTCGTCAGAGCATCTGAGCCCAGCCTGTGCTAAAAACGTCTTTTCTGTCCATGTGTCCTTGTGTGACCTGGTCACCTGTTGAAGCACTAGTAGTGAGGCAGCTGGACTGGCGATCTTAGTGGTTGATTATAGTTGATCTCCACTGTACCTACCTTGTGATTTGCCTCCATAAGATACTCTTAAGAGAAATAACCTTGGTGGCTGTCGTAGTCAGGGGTTGTACACAAAGAACAACTGGGATCAGGACATGTAATTTATAATATTTTTATAATGGTCACCGGAAGTTAACACGGGAAAATGCAGGAAATCTATCTGCAACACCAAAGACATAGATTATTTAGTCAAGAGCCTAAACCCCACGGCAATGTCCCACATGAGTCCAGATAAAAACCCAGAGCTCAGAACAATGCCTCCCACGAGTCCAACTGAAGGTCCAGAGCCCACAAAAAGGACTCACGCCAGGGTCTTTTACTGATTCATCCCGGGAAGCCCCAAGGGTCAGTGGTGAAAGCCAGAAAGTCTATGCCAGCAGGATGAAGGAGCTGTGCTAGTGGGATGAGGGTTCTACGCTAGAGCCGAGAAGTCACACTCACAACGAAGAGCAGGGCTATCCTGAAAGGCACCACAGCTGTCCTCAGTGACACAGAGGCCCTGAGCTCCTCAGACGACAAGCACAGCAGGTATGTGCCAGGAAGCAGCGTGACAAGTTCATTCTGGAGACCAAGCAGCATATGTCTAACCTCCGGAGCCAGGAAGCAATGCTTGATGTGAGGACCAAAGCTTCTCCAGGAGAACCAACAGCTCAGACAGCAACTCGTAGGAGAACCCACAATTCCTCCTTAACGCCTCAACCCTCTACACTGCCCTTCTTTTCTACCTATTTATCCTGGCAACTTTCCTCAGGTGGAGCATCTTCACTCAATGCCTTACTGATGTAATCCAGCTGTTATTAAGTTGACCACCAGTTCTCAATCCATAACAGTGGCAAACCATTTTTGGGACCCCTTCCTCCTGTCTCTCAGGAGCTGTGTCTCAGTAACTCTTTCCTACGTTTATCCTCCATTGTTCTTTGGAGTTCATTCTTCAATTTTAGGGACATGGACTGGGTGTATCTGACAACCAGTCAATTGGGAGTTGTATTTCTCCTGTATCTCTGGGAAGGTGAGTGTCACTGCCCCCTATTCCTGGTGCACCCCTAAAATCACCCCCGTGAAGATTCGGAGGTGTCTGAGTCTCACTGCTTCTGTTTCCAGTGCATCTGTCACAACAGGTAATGGCATTTTGTTTTGTTTTTTTGCAATGTAAGAGTTTGCATTTCTTAAAAATTCTTTGTGTTTCATTAGTGCAGATGAACCCCACTGAGTTATAACCCCATATGCTTTTTAAAATTTTATTCATTTATTTATTTGTACTGAGAATTGTACTCATGACCTTGCTGTTACCAGGCAGGCACTACACTGCTGAACTAAATCCACAGCCACCCCCCCCCCCCCGCTTTTATTTTTTAAGACAGGGTTTTGCTGTGTTGCCCAGGTGGGACTGAATTTGCACTCTTGCTGCCTCAGTCTCCCTGAGTGCTGGGATCACAGGTGTGCACCACCATGCCAGCTTGGAAGCTTTTATCCTTTCTTCATGGTGACCAGAGGCGAACAGGTGGAGAATGTCTATAGTCCACAGTCACAAGCTGAAGTCGCAGTGGCTTCATCATTCTAAGTGGTGTCTTTATTCTAAAGTGATCCTTCAGGATTTCTGACTCACAGTTTGTCTTCGTTATTTTTCTCTCATTGCTAAGACAAAATACCCAACCCTCAAAGTTAAACTTGTTTTGCTCAGGTTTGTAGAAGTTTCATACCAGCTGGCTTCAAGGCAGGGTGGCCTGGCAGAGGTGCATCCCAGAGGAGAACCAGTTCATGGTGGCAGAAGATAGCAAAAGCAACAAGGACAAAACGGGAAGAGAAGCTTTTTTTCTGTCACTTATGTTGAATCCCATCTACTGGGATTAGGACAGTGTCAGCCAGTCATCAGAGTGATCCAGCGATCGCTCGCCCTTAATCCCAGCACCCCACACTCTGGATTCAGCCTCCTCTGAAAAAGTCCAGTGCCCACCTGAGGCTTTGGGAGGACCTCTAGGCACAGACTATAACACAGCTGACCTGAATATACTACACTAGTAGTGCCCTAAGGCTACACACTGGGAGGGTTCTTTTTTTTTTTTTTTTAATTCACTTATTTTAAAAGGAAAAAAAATAATTCTGAGATTATATCCTATTTTTTCCTAATATTAAAATGTGTTTTATCAAAAAACAATGATAATATCTAATAGCAGTTTTCTTTTAAATGTGCTTACTTTTCAAGAGTTGAGAACCCTGTGTCAGTATCTTTAAATTTGCAGGTATATGAAATATGTCAGTTTAGGCTAAATTCTTCGTTGCCTTCACAGAGATCCTCCTACCTCAGCCTCTCAAGTCCTGGGATTATAGGTGTGCACCACCATGGCCAGCCTTTTATTACAGCTTTGTAAGGCTCCCTTTTTACTTGGAGGTGAAAATGTGACCTAACAAAAGTTTCCTTTAAGTGCTATAAAAGAAAATCTGCATTGTAGGGTAGAAATTCACTAAAGCCAGTCTTTAGAAGCCTAACCTGTCTGTGTGTGCATCATAAGGCTTTTGCAGATATGCTGAAAGTGAACAGGACCTTGAAAAGCCTGAACATAGAATCCAACTTCATCACTGGCTCGGGCATCCTGGCTCTGGTGGAGGCATTGAGGGAAAACGACAGCCTGACAGAGATCAAGATTGACAACCAGGTGAGGGCAGGCGCCCAGTGCCAGGCTGCCCAGGCATGGAGATGGGAGAGGCCAAGCCTGTGGCCCGATTATCCCGTGCTCAGGGGTCTTGCGACAGAGGTGTCACGGCTGGCCCACTCCGTTGTTGTCGTCATTTCCCGAGAATCTCAGCGTTGCGCTGTGCTGGCCTGGCTCTGGCCTCTCACCAGGACTGTGGCCAGCAAGAAAAAGCGGGGTGTCCATGCTTGGGGACTCAGGGAATATGGGGCATCCTTCCCTGGGGAGGAAAGAAATTTTTCCTCAGGAGAAAGCAGGGTTGCCCTGCCTGGGTCTTGGGCCTCCTGTCCTCAGCACCCCTGAACCCTGCACCCCAATGCTGAAAGCCCCCAGGAAGGCATCAGGGCTCTGAAAGACTCCTGGCTTCAGGCCAAAGGCCACCCCCTCGGCGCAGTCACAGTCTCCCTCGGCAACCACCAGGGCAAGCTGTTGCTTCTGGTCCTTCCACATCCTGTCCCTGGGGCCGCGTGGGGACAGGGCATATCTTTTATAATAGTCCTGGCAAGGCCCTGGGCTGTGTCCTCCAGATCAGTGCACAGATTTGGGCCTGGACAGGCCTCTGTGCAGCCATTCATGGCTCCCTGATCTCTAGCCCCTGTGGTCACGCTTGCTTGTCACATAAATTGGTTACGGTGGTGCACGTTCTGGAAATGTGTTTATTTTCCTTTACTGCCAGGCTTTTCACGTTGGTAATGAGCCTTTACTGCCTTGCAAATCACTGCATGATTCTCCCACGCGGTGAGGGCTGCACCTGCTCAGCTGGCGACTGGTGCTGACCCATGGCTCCGACTGTGGGTTCCGAGTCCTGTGGACCTTGAGTCCCACACGCAGCATCCCCAAGGAGTTTCCACTCCTAGACCAAGTGCAGGTCCTGGCTGGAGCCAGAGGAGCCCACCTCCGGTTTTGGGAGATGCCTAACCGACTTTGAAAGTCAGTCTCTACCTCTGTGGAGAGTCACGCCCAGGAGTCACTGCTTCCCTGCCTGCACCAAACAGGATTTTACCTGGTGTTCAAACCTCTTCTCAGTCCACTCTTTGATTGGTTATTCATTCAGACAGTTTCATGGGTTAAAAGAAAAGGTTCCATGTTTCAAACCAACACTGGGTAGTTTGGAAATACCAAGTATTAGTCTTACTTTTCTTGACCTGTAGAATTGCCTTTTTTCTTTTTAACTGGAGCTTGAACTCAGGGACACTCACCACAGAGCCAAACCTGCAGCCCTATTTTACTCTTAATTTTTTAGGGGGGCAATACCAGGGACCGAACTCATGACCTCAAGCTTGCCAGGCAGGTGCTTATGCCGCTGAGCTAAATCCATGGCCCCTTACTCTTAATTTTGAGGCAGTGTCTTGCTGAGTTTCCCAGGCTGATCCCAGGTATTTCAGCGTTTTCATTTTCAGATGCAGCAGAGTCCGCTGTTGTCTAGATCTTGCTTCTAGAGTCCATGTGCAGGACTCGATGACTGTGTCAGAGGCAACACTGCGCAAGGCCCTTTCATTTCTGCCCCATGCTTCATGCATTTGCTGTGCCAGTAACGGTTTCCTCTTCCTTTCTGGTTTCCCTGTGCCTGTGCCTCACCAGCGGCAGCAGCTGGGAACAGCCGTGGAGATGGAGATCGCGCAGATGCTGGAGGAAAACTCGAGGATCCTCAAGTTTGGATACCAGTTCACCAAGCAGGGGCCGCGCACTAGGGTGGCAGCTGCCATCACGAAGAACAACGACCTGGGTAATGTCACTGTCTGTTGCTTTCTCATCGCTGGGACGCAGTACCACACACCCACAACTCAGAGCAGAAAGGTTTACTGTAGCTCAGAGTGTGTATCGATTCAGTCCATAGTCAGCCAGCTGCAAGGCAGGGCCTGGGAAACAGACAGATCAAGGAGGAGGCAGGTGGACTGGGCCAGCGACCACCACCACCTCTAGGCTTTGCCTGTGACATCGTACCCAGCTGTAAACCCACCAGTGGATGGATCCAGTACCACGCACCCATATGCAGCATCACACACCCATGCCCAGTGCAACACACCCAGGGGTAGCACCACATACCCAGAACACAGTACATGCACCCTCACGCAGCTTCACACACCCAGGACCCTGCACCCAAGACCGCCGCTCTGAGTGCCCGAGGTTTGGAGGACCTCTAAATCAGAACTGAGCTGGTCACCGTCCATGTGTGGGTGATGGCAATGGTCATGGTCCCCTCCAGCACCCCACAATGGCCCGCAGGCCTGGACAGGTGAGAACCAGGGCCTCTCTGGTACCCGGCGTGCTCTCACCTCGTTTCTCACATGTGGACCGTGCCCAGCCATGCAGGTCTCCTCCACTGCATCTGCCCCTGCCTGCACCTTCCAGTCCTTAGGTTTGAACGCAGGGTGTGTTCAGGACTTCAGTACTTTCGGGGAGGTAAACTGGCAATGCTGGGTGACAGAGGTGAAATTCGGAGTAGCTTCACCTCAGCCCCTGCCGCACTGGCTGAGGAGCTGGGCCTTTTCTCCTGTTAGCATAAGGTTACTGCATCAGGGAGGATCAGGACAGACTCAGGGCTCCACCTGGGGACATCACAGCCATCTGGGGCAGCACAATGCCGGGCTGCCAGCCAGCCAGTGGCTGCACAGTCCCCAGCTGAGGTTCAGGGACCACACCCCCAGTATGGGCAGGCAGCAGCCGGTGCTTCTCCTCCCTGCATGGTACTGGCCACACAACAGGGAAGGAGAAGGGCACGTAAAGGTCAGTGCCCTGTGCGCTGCCCCGATGTGCCTGGCCAGCATGGGCTTTGAGCTGTGGGCATGGGGAGGCTGGCAGGGACCGGCCAGGTTTACTGCAGGCACCAGGGTAAGGCCGCCCAACAGGCTGCAGGCAGCACTTGGAACCACACAGAAAACAGGCAAAAGAAGAGATTTGAAAGGTGGTCCTGGGCTTCCTGGAATTGGGGTGTGTAGAGCAGGAGCTGGGATGAGACCTCCACTGAACCCTGGAAGAGCTCCCTGGCAGCGGGGAGGCCGGTGATCCAGGCAGGGAAGTGGTGGAGATGGGGTCAGGCGGCCCGACACCCTCTTGGATCCCAGGAGCCAGCTGAAGGGAGCCTGGTACTTGGGTCAGCTCGCCATCTGAGTCACATCTTCAGTGGAGGCTGACACTTAGGGGTTTTATTGGGACGAGATTCAGACACTCTGGCCTGTCCAGAAGCCAGGGTCTCTCTGGCCACTACTGGAGGTAACAGCAGCAGCTGTGCTTACTAAGTAGTTTATGAAAGCCAGGGTGACTGCCTTCTGGGGGGTGGGAGTGGCGGGAGGAAGACGTGCTGAGGCCAAATACTTTCTGTTCCCCAGAGATGAGAAGTACTTGCCCTTAAGTCCCAGACATAGAACCGTAAATTCCTTTATAGAACCGTAAATTCCTCCAGACACTGGGTTTGTTCTATCGTTTCCATTTATTTTTTATTTGTTTATTTTTTGGTACAGGAATCAAACTCATGACCTCATGCTCGCCAGGCAGGCACTGTGCTGCTGAGCTGTCTCTCGGCCCCTAGTTATTTCCATTTATTGCCATGATTTGTTGAATAATGAAGTTTAGGATAGTTTGTATCCCAGGCGTGTGGCATTGCTGCTTTGTAGGATTGGTGTTGTTTGGAATTCAAAGGCTGTGCCTTCCTTCAACTTGTCCCTTTAAACCTTTCTCTCTCATGTGCGTAGTTCGTAAGAAGAGGGTTGAAGGAGATCGAAGGTGAATGTCCACTGGAAGCAGAGAAATTTCTCTACAGAGCCGTTGGAAATGGATACCAACTCCTCTCCAACGAGGGACCATTTTATCAGAGGCTGTTCATTTCCGTTAACCGTACAACTAATGATTTAATTTCTATTTTTTAGCGCTACTTACTTATCTGGGATTCTTCCACGGGTCCAACTGTTTTCCTTGCTCTTGGGCTTCTCTGCAACTTGCCCAAAGGGACCAATGTAGACATTAGAGAGACAGCCGTGACCGTGAATTTAACCGCTTTCATACTAGGTTGCCCTCGCTTTCTTACGTGAACTTTTTTTTTTTAATCACTGAAAGGTATTTAGTTTATACTGTGTGTTTTAACTGATTATGGTAGAGGCCTACCTCTGTTTACATGCATAGCTTCGAGTTAGGCTAAATATACCCAAAGTGTTCTGCTTATCATGTGAGAAGTTAGCATTGCCAATCTTTCACTGGATGAGAAAATGTGACCCACTTAGCTCAACTCTAGTTGTAGAAAAATCCCTAAACGCACATGCCCAACCGTTGAAAGATCAGCGATGTCATCTTCACAAAGCAAGAAGCTTTAACAGCGCATTGGCACGTTAGCAGAAGCCGTCTGAGCCCCAACACCCAGCCAAGCGAGGTTCTAGGCAGCGACACGAACCAACACATGTACCTTTGCTGGTTATTTGACATTCATTCAATTGGTAAAGTGATCCTGTTGAAAAGCTTCTTACAAAACTGTTGTAAAGTTTTCCTGACATGGTAGGAAATGGTTGAATTTTAGTGAGACAGAATTTTAAAATAATATACCCCTACATAAAATAATAATCCCTGAACCTCACTGGGCATGGTGGCACACACTGTAATCCCAGCATTTGGGAGGCAAGAGAATTATTGCAAGTTCAAGACCAACCTGGCTACATAATGAGACCCTGTCAAAAAATAATAATAACCACACCTTTAATAAGATTATAAACACACACAATTGCATCAACTTGACAAACCTTACAATCACAAATTGCTTTGTCTTTATGTAACATGATTACAGGATAAAAAGCAAGGCTTTGGGTTCATTATGTAGATTTTTGTCCACATGATCCATCTAGACATTTGCAAACATCAAGGGAAATACGGATTGTCACTGCTACAGATGTTTGTCGTCTCAGAGACGAACCTGTGGGTGTGGGACTGAGATGATCACACCGTAGCATGCGTGGATCTTTGAATGGAGCAGCACAGCCACATGGAGAAGCAAGGAAGGGAGACCCAGTGTGGTCTCCAGACAGTCATGGCGATGGGGGTACTGGCTCTCTGGGGCTCCCCTCTCTGTGCTCCTCCCATCCCTCCTGCCCTCTTCAGATTCAGTTGCTGATTACTCTGTTTTTTAGAAGTTTGCACACAAGTTGCTCAACACAACCTTTTGTTTTGTTTTGTTTGTTTTTGCTGGTGGTGGGGTCTGACCCAGGGCCTTGCACATGGGAGGCAAGCACCCTGCCTACCATCCCCAGCCCAACACGGCCATTATTAAAAATTAAATTAAATGCTATGCACTTGAAATTAAAAACTGACCTTGAAGGTCGTAATGATAAATAGTCAAGAATACTTCCTTTCAGTGCTTCCTATGCTCTGAGATACCCACATCTGTGTGTCTGTAGGTGGAAATACCACCTATCTATTGGACATTATAGCTCTTCAGTTATTTCCTGCTCGGGGTGGGAGTGTTCATACTTTGGAAATTACTGCTATGTTACAAGTTGGAGGTTTTCCTCCTCTAATTGCTGGCTTGTCAGCTGTCATCTGGGTGCTGGGTGAAATGCTCCAATTTTGAGGTACATCCCTTCGGGGTACCTTGTTGCCAATGGGACCTTATCCACCCCTCCTTCTCTTTCTTCCCTACTCTGCATCTGTGACCAGCTCCTTAAGTGCTGAGTTCCTGATGTGGCCAATTCAGCCTTTCCTTTCCCACTCACCCTTCCCAGCCTTCACCCAGAGAACCGAGAACCAGCAGTGTCCCCACAGCCGCGGGCCACGGTGGCAGTTGGCAAGGCTTGGCCTAAAGTGAGGGAAAAGCATCAGAACTGGATCATGGCTATTTCATCCATGCGGGCAGCTGTTGATTGTGTCAAAGCAAGCGAGGAAGACATTGTAAACATACAGCCCTGTTTTTAGTTTATAAAATAGTTGGGTCACATATAATAGAGTTTATGAGATCAAATATTTGTTACTGACCACTTTGTCTTGTTATTTTCTGTGTTTGTAAAGTGGCCTCCCCATGACTTTCCATGCCTGTTTGCATAGGGAAGATGACTGTTAGAAGACAGACATACCCTCTGGGGAACCTGTCAGATCGTTTCATTACGCCTTCAGCTCCCATCTGCCCTATGCGAGCGAGAGGAAGTTCATTCCTGATTGCTAGCGTGGGGTGGAATGTGAATGTCTTTGTATGTGTGTGTTTTGCTCAGTACTTTGTTGGGAGGTTTGGCAGTGTGTGTACCAGTGTGTCTGTATGTGTGTGTGTACTGTCAGATACCCAAGGAGGTATCTGGCTACATCTGAACACCTGATTGAAGGGAGATATTCTCTCCCCAGGTCCTCTTTCCCTGTCCTCTGTCGGGTCGCTACAGGCTCAGCAGCGACTCCCTGGGGTCTATAGTTTGTCTATAATTTGGATAGTGACTCTTAGGAAATAGATGTAGAAGCTAGAAGTCATCTCATTGTTCCAGCATGAAATCTTACCATCTACCTCAAGCTGTAGTGTTCCATCCTCATCAGTGCAACTTGGCCCCTGTCTTCCACCTCTGGGACACGCTGTGCATACGTGTTTTGTACACAGAGATCAGCAAATACTGCCTTGAGGCAGTCGGCTTCCTTGGACCACCGAGCAAAGGGAGACCGAGCTCCCAGCCTTGTTCCTGGCCCTCTTGGGGCCCTTTTAGCGCATTTTATAGTAACAGCTCACCTCTGCATAAACCCCAGAGGCCAGCCCAGTGTCTGTGTTCCCAGACCCATTCCCCAGGGGAAACCCAACTCAACCCAAAGAACCGCTTCTACTCCAGAACCAGACGTGGTTCCCTGCTCCCCCAGCACTGGGGAAGCCACCCTGAGGATTGCTGCCTTGAAGACAGTTTCAATGCTGGGAGCCTCAAGCCAGTGTGAAGCATCTACAGGCTCTCAAATTAACATAGTCCCAGGAAAGTTAGGATAGCAAATACTTTCTTTTGCATGGATAAAATGTGCTCGGCTCTCTCTAGATACTGTGAAGGAGACAGAAGAAACAGAGACAGAATTCTTGATGGAATTTTCTATGTGTTTTGGGGCCTGGGGATGAGACGAGTGGCTTTTTGCAAAGTAGATACCCTTTGTAGTCCAGTTTAGTGGCCTCGGCACTTGTGGGCACAGGACAGGAAGCTGTGAACGTGGCTTCTATGGTGCGTGACCTGCCTAGGTGCAAGTATTTGCGGAGTCAGGTTGAAAGTCACGGTCCTGAGCTTCCTTCCCCATTTCCTCTGGTGATGCAGTGGGCGCTGTCTCCCCTTTAATGGCAGAGAACCAAGAGGGAGCGTCCTGTGCTGAGTCCCCAGTAGTCCCCCACTCCTAATTGATCCTCACCTCCGCCCTGCTCAAGGCTAAGGACTAAGACGCAGAGGAAAGCACTTAGCTGGACCCACCACATGGACAGCCTCTTGGACCCACCTGGCCAGAGGAAAGTGCCCAGAGCCCCGACAATATGGGCACTGTGTTCTTGGTCCACCAACTCAAGATCTTCGTGGCTGTGGAGTTCAGTGATGTGGAGAGGCTGATAGACAGGAGGGAGGAGGATGAGATCAAAGATTTACATTTGTTTCATGGCAGAACTGAGCTCCATTCCAGTTGCCTCTTTCTGAGCTTTTTGTAACAGCAGTGATTTAACAGTCAGGAGATGGATTCGCAAGTTTTAAATTTGCAACGTGACCTGGGTGCTGTTCTAATAGTAATGTATGTGGCAAGACTTAGGTCAGGACTTGGAAGAAGGTGAAGGAGAGGGCTGGAGACTGAGGCAGGAGGGAGTAGACAGCTAATCAGACTTCCTGCAGTGTCTCACCCATGGCAGTCACTGCAGACACAGGCTCGCCAGTTGGCATAGACAGATGGAGACTCCAAAACGTAATCCCATCCCCAACACTTAGCAGGGCCACAATCACGGGCAGTTCATTCAGTTACCTCCGATTATAGAATCTCCAGGGGAAGGGTGCTGGATTTGGAGTCATTGGCTCCACGCTTTCCTGGCTTGCCAACGTTGTTTGGCAAGCCATCTGATCTCACAGGCCACGTGATCTCTCTGCTCTAAAGTGGGAATAACACCTTCACTAACTACCTCACAGAATTGTGAGACTGTCATCAGATTGTTGGATGAAAGCACTGTAGAAACTAGAAAGTACTATGCAAAATGGGAGATTCTTGTTATTATCAATGGGTTAATGTGTTCCGCTGCCTCTTGAGTGTGCTTTACGCTGTCCGCATCTTTTGGAGTAGGGGGAATTGTAGCATGGTGTGGTGGAGGAACTACAATTATTTCACATGTACCCCAGTGTGGGGAGGGGTGGATGGTGGATTAGCGTGCCGTGTGTCAGGGGTGTGCAGGATGAGGTGTTTTCCTACATTGTGTCAATGGTACCTTGACCAGAATCCTTGCAGAAGGCTCAGAACTGCACAGGAGGAAGCAAGCATAGGCTGAGGTGACAGAAGGTCTGGGTTTGGCCACCTTCCTGTCACCCCTGCAGTGGGGGAGGCCAAGTCCTAAGGTATCAGTGGGGGCCTGGAAGAGGTGACTGTCCCAGCACTCCAAGAATTGTCGTGCCTGCAGAGCAGCAGCATGACAGGTGCTAGTAAGAGAGAAAGGGGAGAGAGTGGCACCTGCTGTGACCAGCTGGCCATGGCAGCAGTGACCCTCACCAGCAACTCCAGCCCAGCCAGCATTTTTTCTGCTAAGGAAGGAAGGGATAGAAATGTGGCCTCAAGACTTTTCATCAGCACTTGGAGGCAGGGACCACGTCCCAGCAATCTTCGTATCTCTAGTACCATCCAGTAAGGTGCTTTGTACATAGTTGGTGCTTAATAAATACCGCTTGAACTTCATTGGCCTCCAATCCCACACGAAGTTGCTCTATTGGTCACCAGGTAATACTTTTGGAAAACGACTCTGGTTAGGATGCCAGCTGCCCGAGGCTCTGGGCAAGCTTCCATCTGTTGGTCTGTCCGGGCTTCCCTTCATCCCTTCCTGCCTCCCAAACATGCAACCCATGATTCTGAATTGTTCTCACCACCTGTGACACTGGCAGGCAGTGCTCCCAGCAGCTCGTGTTGTCTTTGGTTCTGGATTTCTCAGAACAGGTGAGTTAGGGCCAGGGTGTCATCCAGGACAGAGATGGCCTCACAGGTACAGGCTGGGTCTTAGCTCCACAGAACAAAAATAAATTGAATGATATGAGGGGACCAGAGAGGATATTTTAAGCATATTCTATTTTGCTCCCAGAATGAATGGGAAAGGAAAGGTGGAAATGCAGAGAGCGTAGCAAGCTCTCTCATGGCAGGTGTGGCTGTAAATCCCTGCAGCCTGACTCTGCACTGCTCAAGCTACAGGCCCCAGGGCGGAGTCTTTAGCTGTGGGGGATGGGCAGCACTGCCCGGCTGGGAATGAGATGCTCTGAAAATAAGTTCTTACAGGGAATTTTATTTAGTACCAAATGTTGCCAGTGACAATCTTTAGTTAAGAAAGAAATGATTCTGACCTAAAATTCTAATCTTTGCCACTTTGTTTTTAAGGGGGAAAAAGGTATCTACATGGAAAATAATATTTATATTTTATTTAAGTCTTTATCTTGTTGCATTTTGTCCAGGAAAATAAATAAGCAGCATTTTTTCTTTGCATTTAAAAATGTAAAATACTTGCATGCCTCCGATCTGTAGTATCTTACCAATTCAGATGCCTGTTCTGCCTGACCTCCTGTGTATTGTTTCTGTGTGGTTGCGAAGAGAACATAAGAGCACTTTTGTCAACTGTAAATGGTTTAAACTTCCATTGGCAACATCCACTTAGCTAAGCAGTTGTTGAAAAAAAACCTATGTGATTTTATTTTTCATCTGAAGCTTTTCCATCAAAGCTGGCCAACTGGTTAGGAATTAAAGACTGGTTTGCCAGGGCTGGGGATACAGCTTGGTGGTAAAGCACTTGCTGTTACCCTGGTGCAGTTTCCAGTCCTGAAAAAGAAAATGAAAAAAGTCCAATTTGCCTTTTAAATGTGAAGTTGAACACTTGTGGTATAACCTGATAAGAAGGACTCCGGTTGGCCCAAAAAGATGCAATTTTTGGCCCTTTGGAATTAGCCCCAGACCTAATGCTGAGTCAATGTGAATTGTTTTAATTAACTAAGATCTTTCTGCTTTCAAAGATGTAAAATAATTTATTTGTGTCTGGAATGAGGTTTCTAAATGAAAATGTAAAAAACATTGGGAATTAATAAACTCAGCTTCAAAAGTGAACATAAAGACTGTTTATGGCTTATTTTGAGTGTCTCCTCCAAATAACTGGGCGAGTCAGCCTCTTACTTTAAATGAGCACTTTTGCAAACAGAACTATGAATTGCCTCAACTTAATAGAAGAAACAACCATAACTAGCCACAGGGAGAAGTGACAACTTGTTATCAAAGCAGAATGTACACATTTGGTGGTGACAGAGTTAAAATTTGTCAGAATAAATGGAAATGGGAATATAGATTGTATGCAGTTTATATATATATATATATAGTTATTTTAAAGTATAGATACATTTTTTGGGGCTGGGGATTTAGCTCAGCGGCATAAGCGCCTGCCTTGCAAGCAGGCAGTTCGTGAGTTCGATCCCCGGTACCGATAAAAAAGAAAAAGACAAAAAAAAAAAAAAGTATAGATACATTTTTTAAAACCTAAACTGGGAAGTTGTAACACTAAACACTAAAAATAGGAAAGTTACATAATGAAAGAATGACCTGGTAAAACTGTATTTCCTGACCTTCTGTCGAACTCAAAGTCCCAACTTTTTAATTCCTGAATTTTATCATTTAGGCAGGTGATGCGGTCCAAAAAGCATAGAGGGTTTTTGTCTAGTTTCTTTTCTTGTTTCATGCTTTCTTTTGAATGAGGAAATATATTGCTATCTTGCCTTGCTTACAGGATTCTCCTGTTTGGTCTAGACCTCGTAATGGACAGGGATTGCATTTTAAATAATCCAGGCTTAGTGTCTTCATCCATACAATAGAAACAAAGACAGGAATCCTTCACAGTCATGCCACTGAGTGTTACCGTGCATGGGTAGCACAGTGCCTAGCATGTCAAAGGCATTTGTGTGTCCTGAATTGTAGAGAAATGTCCATCAATACTAATGCCAACACAGGTCTCCATTTTATGCGGACATCAAGTGTTTAAGCAGGACCAAATAACTCATTATTAAATTTTCACCATCCAGTCCCTGCTAGCAGCAGGGACCTCTCCCACACTCCAGGAGCTGAACACAGGCAAGAGAGTGCTGACTCAGGGGCAGCTCCTACCTGCCATTCCGGTCCACTCCCGTTCTCCCTAAGGGTTGCCTCTCCCACCACACCTGGCTCTGATTTAGTTTTAAAATGTCATTTTGGCTGCTGATATAGAGAATAGATTATAGTGAGAGAGTTCTCCCCCCCCCCTTTGTCCCCAATTTTATTTGGAGGACTGGAGATTTAGGAGACACATCAGCCTGACCTAGTGACCACGCTAAACTCTGTATCAGGACGCAATGCTTCCCTGCTAGGTCTACAAATAAATTATTGGCTATGTGACTGTGCAAGAGATTTAACTCTTCTGAGCCTTAGTTTTTTCACCTGTAGAAAATGAGGCCACTGAGCCAGGAATATAGCTCAGTGGCACAGCACCTACCTGGCAATTGCAAGGTACTGAGTCAATTCCTGGTACCAAAGAAACAAAACAAAAAAACTCAAGGATACTAATTGAATCTTTGTGTGGTTGTTTAGAATTCCATTAGACAGTATTAATGCAGCATTAGAATGGTATGTGTTAAGTGTTCAGTAAATGTTAGTTGAGCCTTTGCTCTATAAGAAATTGCTCTCAGAAAGCTGTTGCCGCCAAGGACATTTGAGAAGTTGATTCACAAGCTGATGCTGTGGAAAATAAGATGCAATGGCCACAGGACTGAATATTGACTGTCTTCTAAGAGTACTTGCAATTTATAAGAGCTTTTCTTCCCAAGTTAGCCAGACATGGTGGTGTACACCTGTCATCCCAGAACTTTGGAGGTTAGGGCAGGAGAATTGTAAGTCTGGGGCCAGCCTGGGTTTATCTAGAGAGTTCAAGCCCAGCCTAAGACTACACAGTGACAGCCTGTCTCAGAAAAACAAAAACCAAATCAATCAAATCGACCAAAATGATCAGTGATCTTCCTTCTTGGAATTAGTGCCACTTGCAGGAAATTCCAGGATGTTTACTTAACCTGGGTGCTGCCTCTTCTGAAGAACAGAAGTAGATGCCAGGAGAGGTTTAACCAGTAAGTGGCTCCTGCACCCCAGGTGTAGGTGGAATGCACCTCTAGCATGCTCTTCAGCCCTCTTCCTCTGCTGCATTTCTGAAAAATGTATCAGAGCCAAGCCTTGCTCCTAGCATTGGTCTGGTCCTGGAGAGCAGGCAGAACAATCCTTAGTGGGTGACTCCATGAAGGAGTGGAAAAACACCCTTTCTTTTTGTCAGAGCCCTGCACAGAGGCCATCAAACTGTCCTCTGAGCCACTTCCCTTTTTCTGCAAACACTGCCAAGATCTTTGTTCTCCTACTCACCAGTCACTTGGCTATGGACAAGTAACTTTGAACTTCAGGGTGTTTTCGATCTGGGCTTTTATTTGCAGTGCTGGGGACTAACTGCAGGGCCCCAGATTGCGGGGTAAGTGCTCTGCTATACATACCCAATATTGAGTATCGGCTTCGATATCTTTTCTTTCCTACCACCCTCTCCCAGTCCCTTCTGTCCCCACTCACTTAGGTCCACAAATCTACTTTTTATATTTCTTAACATCATATTGTGGAATCCTGTCCGAGAATCCAAAGAAATGATCTCCCTCATACACCCATGACACAGTATATTAAAATCCGACTCATGTGCATTTTCTGTAATTTCACAACGTTTCGGGTAATCATAACAAGCGTTGGAATTTAAATCTGCTACAGATCCCCTTCAAGGGTTTACTCCCGCCAATACGAACCCCCACCCCTACTCTTGCGGGTGTATACTCTGGAGGGGCATGCAGGCTCACAAAAGGCCCAGAGTTGACTCTGGCCTCGCGGGTCCCGGGTTCGGGTCTTAGCAGCTATTTGTTTTGCTAACTTTCTTATTGGTCCTTCACAAGTTCACAGGGCAGATGTCACGTCCTCACATTGTAACCAAAGGTACAGAACCAGCCCTATCGTGTGTGCTTCTTGACGGTCAAAGTCAAAAGGCATTCTGTTACCAAGAGCCCGGCGCGCGGCTCCCAGAGACTCGAGGGCGGATACTCTCCAGTAGAACATCTTTCCCCGCCTGGCAGCCGGCTGCCAGGACCCGGACCAGAACGGGCCGCCTCCCGTACGGACTACAGGTCCCAGCGTGCTCCGCGGCGATCGTGCGCATGCTCGGGGCGGGGCTGCTGCGTCGACCGCGCCGCCAGGCGGACGCGCGCGGACGGGTGGGTCCAGCGTCTGGCTCTGAGACTGAGGGGGCGGACGGCGCTGGGAACCGGGCGGCAGCTAGAGGCGGGCGGTTCCCGCGGGTCCTGAGGGAGGCCGGCGGCACCAGCCAGGTAAGGGTGGCCCAGCGTTCTCCAGGAAGTCGGCGTGGGCGCGGCGGTGAGGCGCCGGCCTTGGAGACTGGAGATTGAGGGAGGGAGCGAGGCTGCGCCGTCCGACGCCGGCTGGGTCCCTGTCCCAGGCCTCTCGCGGCGGGGGTCGCGGGGCCGTGGGCGGCCGGGGGGGCCTCTGGGCACCGGGGGCTGGCGGGGGGCTGCGGCCTCTCTCGCACGGCTCCCTCTCCGCCTCGCAGCTGGGCGCTGTCAACCTGGTTCCGCAGGCGCTTCTGCCGGGAGACCGCAGGAAAACCAGAAGCAGAGCAGGACCCGGGGCGCGCCCTTTGGGTGGCGTCGCGGTCTGCAGGTCCCGCGGTGACTTCCTGCCCGGGCGTGCAACAGGGTCCCGCTGCGGGGCTGGGCCGGGCCGGGTCGGGTCGGGGGGCTGGAGGACGTGACGGGCTCGGTGTGTCCTAAGCACACACAGACGGAGGGAACGGACGCAGTTTCTTAAATGTTCAGTTCCGAACTGCGTTTCCGGCTTGCCCTTGGCTCCTCTTAACAGCAAAAGTCATCCGGCAGCGAGCACTGCAGGAAAGCTGATCCCAGGAGGTCGCGCTGCACAGGAAATGGGTTGGAGAGGTCGGAGTTAGCTGTGGGCTGTCTCCCTCTTCGTGACATTTTCAGGCAGCTCATGGTTCTTTTTCTGAGAACCCTTTAGATTAACTTTTTGGCAGATTAAACTGATTAATGAGTTGACTGGCTAAATATTAGGATTACAAAATAGCTTTGTTTAGACTCTTAATTCCTGTCGTTTCTTCCTAGTAGTGCTGAGCACCTTTAAAAAGCCCATCTCTTTAAGACCCCGCAGTCATTGAACTAGATCCCCTCTCTAATACATTCCTTCTAGAAGAAAGAAGTGAATTAAAATGAGTTCCCTTGTATTCTGGCTCTTGTAACTTTCTTGCTTTTGCAGTTTGTTCATCTGCCAGATGAGGTTAATGGACCACGTGACCTCACAATTATCCCAGCATTCTTTGAATTTTAAAAATTCATTTATTCTATTCAGGAAACATTGGTCACACACATAGTTCTAGCCTCTATCCTAGACACTAAGAAACAAAAATAGTTCTTGGGGATGCCATTGACCTACTACTGCTCAATTTCCTTTCATCTCCGTGCATACCATTTGGACCACATTACTCTGTAATTAATCTCTTCACCGTAAATTAAGTACATATAAGTCAAATCCGATTACAGTGATTGAGCTCACTCTCATCAAAGATTTTTTTCCAGCTGGGGATGTAGTTCAGGGGTAGTGCAGTTGCCTACCTTGCCTGATGAGTTAGTTCAGGTTTGGTCCCTGGTACCACCACCAAAAAAAGTTTTTTCAACTTTCAGCTATTGACTCCTTGAAAACAGACTCAGTACAACAGAAAGAAGGCATGATGCAGGGTGTGCTTTTCAAATTTAGCGTGCATAAATCATCTCAGTATTGAAATAGGGTACTAAATCAGTGTGTCTGAAAGATTATGCTATTAGAGACCACACTTTAAATATCAGGAGTGAAGATACATTTTATAGATACTTCAAAGTGTTTATGATGCTAATCTCAAGACCTACGCCAATAACTGTCGCATTGTATACGTATCCATGACTTTTCCAACTCCGTTTTAAGAAATAATACTGTTCTTTCTTAACAAACTCCTTCACAAATTTTTTTCTGTATTATTTTCTCCTCTTGTTCTCCTTCCATTTTTCCTGTATCCTTTCAGCTTTCTTTCCTTTTACCCTCAATTGTCTTTATTCACATTAATTCAGCAATTTACTTACTCAACAAGTATTTGTGTTACCTCATCCTGCCCAGGAAAATGTCTTAGGCTCCTGATGAGTATGTAGAAGACACAGTTCTGCTTGGGAGATGGGAGCCCACTTCCTTTGGGATTAGGCATGTGTATTCATTGATCAGGTTCAGAACCTTTGTAAGAACTGTGTTGTGAGGGGCTTTGGCATTTATTTATTTATTTATTTTTTAATTTAAGGAGAAAAAGAAAAAAATAGAAAAAGGGTACAAGTTATACAGAATTTCAGAAAACATAAACAGTAGGAAATCACTAGTTAATACATTACATATTGTTATCTTAGAAATAGTTGTTCAAGTTACAAAATTAAAGCATATAAAGTGGACTTTCAAACAGTGAGACTGGAAACAGTTTTGTTCAATGATCCAACAAAACTCAGTAATATGGTTATCTATCTTATATACTTAAATATATATGCAGTTACATTCTTTAGAGCACTTTTGTACAATGACAATTACACAAAATGGTTTTATTACTCCCACAGTTCTTATTACTTGTTTTTGAAGAGAGTAAAACCAAATGTGCCATAACAGAACAGAGTCAGTCAAATCAAAAGGATGGACATAATAGATAATGTAAAAACAAAATACTAGGTGATCAACAATGGTTACCATACTGCCTCTTGCTATCTTAAAAAGAATTGCCTATATCATCAGTTATAATAAAATTGAACAAAACAGTAAAGAATAAAACCAATACATTGGAGACCTTACAGGACTTTAAAAGAAGATAATTGTCAACTGGGATGGGCGTCATAATGAATCTTACTGTCTTCACAGTTTTGCCTATACTTTCGAACTTGGTACTATCAAGCAAAGCAGAATAGAGGAAAATCAGTCAAAGCAAGATGGTGAGGGCTATACAGGGTTTCAAATCAAGTTAATAGGAAATTAAAGTGGGTTACTGTAATGTATCCTGCTTTTTAAAAATTTTTCCCTTAATTAAAAAGGTAAAAATAAAAAAGTAAATAATTTTTAAAAAAGGAGATTGAGATAAAAGAGGGCATAACAACAAACCAGCACAGGTCAAAACATAACCATTTAAGCAAAATAGTGTTTCACCACAAGATATCCTGACATAAAACTAGTTACCATAGTGTCTCTTTCCTTGAAATCTTTGAGTATAACTTCCTATACTGTAGCACCAAACATATCAAGACAATGTAAAACCATTCAAGAGAATGACAGTATTACGGGGTATTTAGAACCAACTATCAGCAAATGAACAATGGTTTCTGTATAATCTCCGTGTCTATAAAAGTTTTTGCTTATATTATCACATATAATAAAATCCAATAAGATACAACCTGTTAAGACCGATGGAGACAGAAAAATAAAAGCTTGATGGGACTTCAAAGCAAGATGATACTAAATCAGCACTAGCTATTATGATGTCTTGTTTTCTCCAAAATAGCTGTTCCTACCATCCAGTCTTCTCTGCCTCATTTCTGTTGAGCTCTTTTTCTGTCGTTCGTTGTCAGTTTGTCTTCTTCATTTCGCTTTCTGCTTCTTTCATTGTGGCCTCTCTGCCACTGTTTCTGAAGTCTTGGTATTTTCCTTTTTTAGAATATCCTGCAGTATTCTCTGTAAAGTTGAATTGGTGGTTGCAGATTCCCCTAGTTTTTCTGTCCTGGAAGCACCTTGTTTTTCCATCCATTTCTAGGGACAGTTGTGCAGGATATATCAATCTTGGCTGGAGGTTGTTATCTTTCAAAGCTTGAATTATTTCCCACCACGCTCTTCGTGATTTGATGGTTTGTGCTGAGATGTCTGCTATAATTCTGATGGGTGTTCCTTTGTAAGTGATCTGTTTCTTGTCTCTGACGGCTTTTAATATTCTGTTCTTATATTGGATTTCTGGAATTTTGATTATTATATGCCTGGGTGTAGCTCTGTTTGGGTTGTAGGTGGCTGGGGTCCTGTATGCCTCATACATCTGAGTATCTTTACCTTTTGCTAAATTAGTAAATTCTCTTGGATTATTTCTGTGAATAGCTTTTGTAGTCCATTTGTTTGTGTCCCTACTTCTTCTTTTATATTCTTAATTCTTAAGTTATAGATCCTCTTATCATCTTCTAGCCTTTGTATTATTGCTGTTTGTTTTCTTGTTATTTTTAAGAATTTTTTCATTTCATGCTCCCATATTACAAATCTGCCCTCCAATTCAGATAATCTATCCTTAGTTTCTTTCAAGCTGTTATGCCAGATTTCAGTAGAGTTTTTAGTTTCCTGGTAATCTCTGTGAACCTGCTTCACGTATTCTATGTTTTCTCTATTTTCTCCATCAAAAAATTCTCCCCTTTTTTCCTGTTCTTCCATTCTACCATCTGTTTTTTCTTGGGCGGTGCTTAGCATTTCTCTAACTGTTCTACTTATATCTTGCTTTATTTCGTTAAATACTTCATTTTTAAACTCATCTATGAGGCTCTGGAGATACCACTTTATGTCTATTGGTGCCGTGTCTGATAATTGCATGTTTTCTGTCTTCCTTTGCATTTCCCTTTGCTGGATCAGTGTACTCAGAATTGGGGACTGAGGACCCTTTCTTGTTGCTTTTTCTTCCCATACTTTTTGTTCCTTCCATACAAGCGAATGTAGGAGGCCCAGTTTTTTTCCTCTTTGTCAGTTACAGTTTGTTTGAATTGCACAGGCTAGGTGTTCCCGCCCACTGCAGTGTACTAAGGAGACATAGACCTCTTCAGCCTCTGCTGGGCCTGCCCTTCCAGGTCAACCTACCCAAGGCTTCACCGCTAGGGTGCACCTCCAGGTGCTGGGACCTGGTTTGGGCTAGCCTACTGGATCTTAGTCAGCTTCATCACGCAGGCCAGGCACTCCCACCAATTCCGCTTGAGAGGGGAATATGAGGCTAATGTCACTGCAGCGTCCTGTTCCGGGAAGTCTGCCTGGTCCCAGTATGTCCTTTGCTGGAGCCTCCTACTCTATGAAAGGGTCCCCGTTCCGCTCACTCACCGCAAGTCAATGTAGGGCTTCCTACTAGTCCTGCTCTCAACTCCATTCACAGATTCCCGCTCTCAGAGCTTTCACGCGTCTCTCTCCCTGCCCTGCAGATTTGGACGCAGCAGCGGCAGCAGGAAATTCAAATCGCAGTGTCGTGGGTTCTAGCTTCCTGCACTGAGATTTTATCTGTTCCTGTTAT